CATATTGTTCTGAAGAACATCCTTTCTAGGAATAGTCGTCTGCGCCGGTATAGTGGCTGCATTAAGCTTATTATAAGCATGCACAATACGCCACTTGCCATTTGGCTTTTTGACACAAAATGTCGGTGTTGAATGGGGAGATTTACTCTCACGAACCATTCCAGCCGCGTGCTTAGCACGAAAGCAGTTGTCAATGACGTCACACTGTTCTTTAGGCAAAGGACACTGCCATGTTACACAGTATTTAGTTCCAGGAACCAAGTCAATCTCATGACGTACACCTCTATCGGGAGGCAAGGCAGAAGGTGGGTTGTGACACACCACATCTTGAAATTCCTTAGCTAAAGGATAGAACGGATCCAGAGGATCTTTAAGGATCGAAGATCCACTTCGTGCACTAAGTGCCGCCTTTGTATCCTCTAGGACAGACTCATCCATTAACGAGGAAGAATTCAACTCAGTATCAGGTCTAATGACCGCTAACTCGGATAACTCTCCTTCCTTTAAGGCCTGACCAAACTCGCCATCAGACATTTCGTCTAGCTCACAAAGAGCGTCCACGGATGGAAGGGTTTCAAGGCAAACACTGCCATCAACCCGACCAGTCACTCCATTAACAAGTGTATGTAGTGTATTAATATTATCACTATGTGACTGTGAGGACGCCTGGCGCTTAAAAGTAGCTACCCGGCGTCTCGATCGTCTCTTTGAGACCTTAAACCCCTTAGGGGTCGGGACAATATTGTCTTCATGGTTACTACCAACCATAGTACGCTCTATACGAGAGCTTTTGTCTTGACCGACATCAGGTGTGGTGCCCTCACGGCCGTCCACACTATACGGCGTATCGCCTACAGTATCATTACTGACATTAGGTGTGGTGCCCTCACGGCCGCCCACACTATACGGCGTATAGCCAACAGTATCATTACTGACATTAGATGTGGTGCCATCACGGCCGCCCACACTATACGGCGTATCGCCAACAACGCCATTACCGGCGTTAAGCGTGGTGCCCTCACGGCCGTCCACATTATACGGCGTATCGCCAACAATATCATTATTGACATTAGGTGTGGTGCCCTCACGGCCGCCCACACTAAATGGCGAATCGCCAACAACGCCATTACCGGCGTTAAGCGTGGTGCCCTCACGGCCGCCCACACTAAATGGCATATGGCCAAAAATGTCATATCCGACATTCAGTGCGGTGCTCTCACGGCCGACCGCACTCGGTGTAGTTTCACGTGCCACCAAACACACATCAAAGGAATCACGTTCTTGATCACTCGGCCCTAGGCCAACCATGCTTTCAGCATGCAGTGACTCGTTATCACAACGAGTACCACTCAACAGAGTACGTGCCTTTTTTACTAGTTTTAGACGAGCTAGGCTCGAAACTTATGCTTGTAACATTGGAGTTAGATAGCTCATACATTCCAATATCTAGCACATTGACATCTTCTGTCGAAGGCTCGCGCCAATAGCGCTTCTGTCGCCTAGCGAAGGTGGGTTCATGACTCTCCAAAACTTCACTAGGAACATTGCGCGTAGCGCCTAAGGTCTTCGACCTCCAATAAATCCATGGCTCATGGCGTTCAAGCCAAGCTATACCTAGGATGAGATCATATTTTGAGCCCAAATCTAGGACAAGACAGCGCTCAATACTGTCAAAGTCTAAAAACTGTATACCTAAGTTCAATAAAAATTTAGGCACAGCAACGAGACTTCCGGTCGCTAAACGAACCGTGATAGAATCACCCTCATGCGCTGTAAGCGCCTCAGCATAACGCTGACTTCCCTCAAAGGAACGGCGTCGAGCATAATTGCAAGACGCTCCAGAATCGATCAAAATCGACCAAGGCTTCTCGAAGCCCTTAATTTTCGCCTCGGCTACCAACAAGCCAGACTTGTATCCACGCACAATACCCGTAGGTATGATACTCTTTGGGGCTAAGCCCTGCATTTCTTTACCTTCTAAAGGTGTAACAGAACATAGTTCTTCCCCAGTAGGGCGCCCCGCGCCTACTGGGTGTCGGCATGTCCGCGTGCCATGCCAGACTTCTGACTCGGGGTCGAGTGTTGGCTCGTAGCCTGGCGTTGCTTACGCAAAGGGCAACCAGGCCGCAAGTGTTTAGTGCTTCCGCACGTAAATCATCGTCGTACGACGTGTTGCTGCTCAGCAGCTTGAAGCTCAGCTTCACCTCCATCTTCAGCATAGCTGAGATCCATCGGTTCCGGCCTATTATAGGCAGTGGTACCCGAATAGTTTGCTCTCACAGAGCGATGATTGTATCCATTCCAACCAAGTCAGGCCGACTTAAAGTTATGCTCAGCATTAAGAGCAATTCTCACAGCCTCTTCAATCGTAGAGGGGTGAACCCGGAAAACCTCGGTTCTGGCAATGCCAGTACGTAGACCTTCCATGAAGATAGTCACATGGACTGCTTCAGGCTGAGGGTCAGACTGCATTGCAGCCATGAGCGTTCGCAGCTCTTGGACATAGTCCGATAATTCACTCTTACCCTGGCGGGTAGAAAGAAAGCGTGAACGCACGCAGTAAGCCTGGTTAGGTGGAGAAAACACCTGTACCAATTGTGACTTGAGCGACTCCCATGTAGGAAATGCTATGTCCACCGACGTGCTACACGTCAAGGCCCATTATCTAGCTCTACTCTACCATCGAGCTTCGAGATAGCCAGCGAGACCTGTTGATGGTCAAGAGTGATCAGACCTGATCTCATGGCCATCTCGATCTCACGGATCCAGAGGATGAGGTTCTCACCCTCCTTACCGGAGTAGTTTTTTACTTCCACTCTATGTGGACGAGGCTTAGCCTCTTCGTCTGGTACAGAAACGTAGCGTGTAGGCATAGCCGACGCTATTTGGTCTTGGACCTGCCTTAAAAGGGTCGCTTCATACTGCATGAAGCTTTCAACACGTGCATCAAGCACTTCAGGGCCTTGTGAAACTAGGAACTCCACGTACTCTGGACCCAAAGATGCGGTAAGCTTATCAAGCGCGACCTTTTGGGCCTCAGATAGGGGAGTGGGGGTTTCCATCCTCACAGAGGATCAGTCTTAAAGACTCAGGCGTAGATTGACTACGAGTGCTACCAAGTGTTGCGGAGCTACACAGCTCCTAAAGTCAGAGGAAGACTTAACGCTCTACGAGCAACTAAGTTCTATACGACTAACGACTTTACGAGTCAACAAGCTTTACAGCTTCAGATCCCTGTTCCAGGGGGACCTAACGATTCAGTGAATCGACAGCACTCAGTGCTCAAGAGTAGCTACCTCAAGGAGGTGTCGCTAGCTCTTAGTGATCAGTGATCAACGATCAAGACGGCTCGCAAGCCACGTGTCCTTCAGATCAAAATGGGAACTTATTTTATTTTTGTTAAAGCCTATAGAATATCTTAATCCTACTCAAAGATCTTTCGTACCTAATGGCTGACACTCGTCAGCCCCTACAAACCAATAAGATATTCTACATCACCTTCACAGAGGGGTAACCTCAGGTGTGTAACACCTCTGGTACAACGTACTATAATTTCGTGCAACCCCGTTACAAAGGTGGAGACGGGGTTACCTTGCGTGGGACGCAGTCATGAATGTGCTGACGAGTCAGTTGCCCACTTGCTTAGTATTCAATAAAAAAATGAACTTCTCGTCTTACGTATAGGGCCGTATTTATATCAGCCGGAGAAGATATTATTTAATGGATATTAAAAATAAATCTCGGGATAAACTCCAATCAACGGTTGTTGCTAGTTTATTTTATAAATTTAGTAATTTAATTGTTTTTTATTGTGAGAATTGTTTTTTCTTATTTAGTTAATTAAGGCTTTTGATTTGTTATTAATTTGACCTGCTTGTGACGAAGCTCAACATTGGTGTGGACGACACCAAGCACTCACTTCTCGTTTGTTTCAAGCAAACAAACGGCTCGAGATGCTGCGTCGGGTGGGGCAACGAGCAGGTATGTGGCAGTCACCCGACGCGGTTCTATTGCGCCGTTGCTGTTAATGCACAGGACTGTGTGCTGCCGCGTCTACAAGATCGGTCCTCGCCACGCGCTTCGGCGCTGCGTCCGCGCGCGCCGTCGCCAGTCAATCAGACGCTGCCGAAAAAACGCTCCGCAGTCCGAACCAATTGAACGTTCTATTGTCCAATCAAACGCCGCCCACGAATTTTGTAGCCACTTGTCGCGCGTTGCGCGTCATTGACGAGACGGCGCTATTGGCGACGATTGACGTCCGGACGTGGAGCGTGGCACTGCAGCGACGACCGGAGGCTCAAGGCGAACGCATGGCAGCGGAGGTCTTGGGTCTAATCGCGAGTTGTAGTTGCGAACATGCAAGTGTACCCATGTGGACCGATTTGTTTTTTACAGTGTGACGACAGCGTTCTTTACGCGGGTTTCGAACGGATGAGATGCAGGAGCTCTTGAGACAGTTGAAGCGGAGATACGGACCGCAATTTGTAGCCCGCGTGCTCGTAGACGTGGTCATGGCTGTGCCAGTATCAAGATGTTTGCATCTGCTCACGAGCTGCTGCTGTATCAGCAGACGTTGTGGTCGGAGATTTGTTCTGGTACTACTACTACAGACGAGACATTGACGACGGGGTGGAGTGAGCAGAGTAAAGCGCTGATATCGCCATCAGTGGTTGGCCACTTGATGGCCAAGATGATGCACAAGAAAAAGCACGGTTAAGTGCTGGCGCTTGCACGCGCGTAGTTTGCTAGTGCTGCGCTCGATCCAGTGCGAGATTTATAGCAAGAGGGGTTCCTTGAACTGTTTAAATCAAGTGTGTACACACAACAGTGTCCGAAATGTGGTGCACGTGTTTTCGGACTATGTGGAGAGAACGCGCCGTGCAGCAGGAGGCAAGGTGGAGAGAGTGAGGACACGAGTGCTCGAGCAAGGCTTTGGAGCTGCGATTCACTGCTGTGTAAAGCTTGATGAATATTTGCTGGCGTTGCGTTGTTATGAAGTGATGGAAAGCGTACGAGAGAGGCTCGTTTGTGCTGGGGGCGACTTACCGGTGGACGACGCGATCGACGAAGCTGCAGAGAGGGTTGGCATCGTGGATGAAGTGCTGCTAGCTGATGAAAATATATACGTCAACGTGTTGAAAGCATGTATGGAGATCGAGGATTTCTCCACGTTTGAAGATGCGTTCCGCGGGATGGTAGCTCGAGGTGTGGCTCGTAGTGCTGGATTCGGGTCAGCGATTCGTTATTGTCACAAGCATTTGGATCCAGTGTTCCATGAAGAAGTGTTGGACGCGGTATTTTGGACAGAACAGAAGCTTGCAGGTGCCTGGACACTAGAGGTAGAAAACTATAACGATGCGCTTGGCTGATTTGCTGCTACGAATAGACCGGACCAAGCCAAGGAGCTGTTCTCGGAAATGCTGAACAACTCGTCGATAGTGCCCGGCATATTACGATGCTTGAGATGGTGGAGAGTCACTGCAACGCCTCGATCGAGGAGGCGTTTCATCTCTTGGACGTGTTTCTTGAGTGGAAGCTAACATCGAATCTTCAGGTGTTCACATCGCTGCTATCCATCTACATGCGCCGTCGTGAAGTAGGCAATGCTGTTGCGCTCATTGGTGCAATGGAAGAGCATGGTATCGTTCAGGATGTGAAGACATTCACGACTGTAGCGTTCATTCATGCATCCCGCGGTGACTTGAAGGCTGTGGAAGACGTTTTACGAGACATGGCGAGTCAATGTGTTGCTACCGACAGGATGTTCTTTGACTACGTCCTCAACGCACTGTACGGGTCGTGCGGTATCGACATGTGTTTCTCGCTCTTGCGTGAGCTGAGTGCAAACAAGCTGGCGATTCCAGACGGGCTGTACATCTCGCTAATTGATCTCGGCACCACGATTGGTTTGATTGAGCGCACGATGCGTATTGCGTACGACAAGGAGTGCGAAGGCTTTCATCTCTCATCGAAGCAGTTGTACGCGTTGATGATGCGTTGTCACTCGGACGGCGAGATTTCGGAGTTTGTGCGGACGTATGTGATGTTAGCCCAGAGCGTGCCGCCCCAGACTCCGCGCTTTGAGGTGGAAATGTATGAAGATTTGATATCGATGCTGACGCAATTCAATCGCAAAAACGAAGTCCCGAAAGTGCAGGAGCTGGCTAGATCAGTGGGGTACACTGATTTGGTTGTTTAAGCATATTTGTTGGTGCGGTTCGCCGTGCCGCGCCACGCCGCGCCGCGCCGCGCCCAAGGCATATGTACCCACAAAATCACGGTCCGTATCGTTCTTCTTTCACACGGCATTTCATTGTTTTTTGTTTCACCTATGCTAATATCCGGTGTCGACGTACTGCTCAAGCTGCTTAAGCAGGGGTTGGTAGAGCTTTTCGTTGGCTTGAACAGCCCAAACAAAGTCCAAATGGCTAAAGCTTCTGATCTCTTTCTCATAGACAATTGTGCTGGACGGCAACGCAGATCGTAACTGATCGATGTCAGCTCGAGTGGCGAAGATGTCGTTTCCACCAGTAAATAATCCAGTGCGAGGGTACTCCATGCTGCTAATGGGAAATCTGGTGGGTCAAAGCTGCCGTACTTGACTTTGTTGGTGCACCTGTTTTCGGACACACGTGAATGCCAAGCATGCGAGGACATCTGCAGCCATAGTCGAACGCTGAAAAGGTGTTTTCGCGGGTGCTTTGGGCATAGTGGCGCATACTCTTGACGGAGGTTCCTGAGGGCACATCTGAAGCGTAATCGCCTGTACGAGATGCGTTCAAGTTCTCCGTAGATTTGACTACGAGTGCAAACCCCGAGGCGCACAATTCCGGACCCATGTGACATGCAGCCGGTCGAATGATTTTTTGTAGCAACGCGTTATGCGAAAAGAGCTGGACTTGACCGGAGGCCTTGAGGACCTTGTCGAAAAAAGTAGGCACGAGCAAGGAGGAGCTTGAACGTTCTCGAATCTGTATTGCCTAGCCAGGCAACAGGTCCCAGAGCCGCACAATAGGACACGGATCGAGCGAGGGTCTGGTTTTTGCAGCAAACGCGACGGCTGCCTGAGTTGACCCCTGCGAATACCCTACAAGAGCCAGTGTCTCCCGTCCTGACGTCTCCAGAGCATAGTTGAGCGTTGCTGGCACTTCAAACTGCCCATGTCTTTCCATGAAAAGTCCCAGAACGCAGTGTATCTGGTCGTGTACTTAGCGTGGCTGGACGAGTACGTATTGCCGCGATTATTCCCAAGCCAGACATCGTAGCCAGCATCAGCAAGCACATAGGCGAGACTGCGGTTCCGGGAGTCGCACACCCATGCGAAACTACTGGCCACCATTTCATGCTGGACGAAAACAGCTGGTTTGTTTCGGTCTGACTTGTCGTTGCTGTTGGCATCCGCCTGGCTTTCTCTGTACGACGTTGGTAAGCGATGCATGGAGAGGATGTATCCATCTATTGTTGTGACATTGTGCGTCTCCACTACGTAGCCACGCGCTTGAACGAGCTCAACAGTGGACTTCCCAGCATCTGGATTGAGGTCTAGCTCAGCTGCCGTGACTTTGTCGAAGTGCACGAGCGAGTGAGTCAAAGCAAGCAGCGCGAGTTCCAAGCACAGGACCACGAGAGCTTTGTCTCGAGATGAAAACCTTCTGCAGTGTTGACAGGATGACGTTTACGATAATGAATGTGCGGCACCAAATCACGCAAAACCGAAGAATACACAGCACATATTCGTGCACTTTCGTTCGCCTTCTGTCTTGTGGTCTTCCTTGGCGTCTCCTTTGTCATTTGCACCTCATCAGTTGTCGTCCCCTTTACTGCCGCCGACTTTCCATCATTTGACTGCTACAAGAGCTCGATGATCCATTCAATTGGGCGAGCAGCACAGTCTGCTCTGCTTAACGTCCACTTTGTAACCGTCATCGTAATCATCATCATTTTGATTACTCGTGTCGTTTCGTTCACTGCCATAATCAGCCCAAGGGCTCGTCTGCTGCTGCGCGCGACTTGAGACCGTGTTTTCTGTCGAAAATGCCACATGTGTACGCATTTCGATCAAAAATAGAATCCGAAACGCTCCCGCGGCAACTCTTAACGTCGCATAGGTGATAGGATATCAGAGACTAGTGACTGAATGTAGAGAGTGCTGACATAATGCAGAGAGTGCTGGCAGGAGATGACGTTGTGCAGGTGTTTATTATACTTATTTTGACTACTATTTTATAGGTCAGGTAGGTAAAGATGACGTGAGCCATGTAGTCGGTCTTGGGACGAGGTACATGAGATGACCAGACCTCAGTATAGAAGAACAAGTAAGAGACTGCAGGAAGTACAGTCGCTTGATGGGTTGAACAAGCATGGAGAATATGCCTGATCGGTGAGAGAAATGCGTACTTACTCGCACGTCGCAGACTTGGGTCGGTGCATCTCACGGGTCGGAGCAAAGGCATGAGCGAGGACGACTTCATTCTGAAAAAATCGACATCAGCAACACTCGAGTCTACAACACAATCGCATCGACAACTTGACCAGTTTGAATAATCATGGTGAGTGCATGATTCCATTTCTCGATATATCAATTTACTTGTTGCTGACGTTTTTCTTTTGTGTGTGTGCATGTGTTTACTAGTGGATTACTATCGAGATCCAGAACTTATACAACCTTGTTGAAGAGAGTATCCGTCATGTACTGAGTGTGCTGTCGGAGATTACTTCCAAAGCATGCGGCATCTACGAGAAGAGCGTTAGTCCCACTGATTGGGACTTCAACCAGCTCACCAAGCTGCGCTCAAGTGATGAGAAGCACTGCACCATCGGGTATAGCCACGCACTGCACCCGCTAAAGGAAGCAAGCAGGCACAACGAGTGCCATGCTACCCAAGCAGGTATGGCAGATGCCCACCCGGCGAACAGGTTCAAGTTGAAGCCTATTTGCAACGAGATTAATACCAACGAGTTCACACAGCTCGTTGCTACTCGCGATCCTGATGAAGATGGTGAAGATAGGACGTGGTACAGCCGGACACTGCTCCATTTAAAGAACAAGCGCCAACGCCAATTGAGCCACTACGATCGAGCTGATTCGTTTTGTTCGACAATCTCAAGTGTTGACTAGTTTACACTTACAATGTCTTAGCCGTAGTCTAGCGATAAACGTTTTAATATATCTATCCGGTAAACATGGTTCGCGACTTTATTGATGTTAACGATAAAAGCATAATCAAGAAACATGCGCAGTCGCAGCAACAATACTCTGCACTGATGCGACAGCCTTCTGTAAACGCGCATATATTGTCTTATTCAGTTCAACTCGTCTAATTCGCTTCTACAGCTGCAAGTCGATCCGGCTGTAGCGACACAGCTGACAGTTTTCTTGGAGCCTCGTCCACGCCAGTAAGATTCACGTTCATCCGCACGTCCGTGATAGTCAATGATGAATGAAGCCCCAATGGACTGGTTGCCTCCACTAAGACAGCAGTATCAAGCCGTATCATATCGTTCTCCTTGTCTTTTGGTGGAGCATGCATGGAAATTCCGTGGAAAAACAAGTTCCCCACAAGCGGCTTTGTCTGCGACGGCAACGCGCTCTTGATCGTCAAGTTCTTCATTGCTTGGTTACACAGCTCCATCGAGGTCGCCTGAGGGTCACATGTCACGACCGTAAGTGCTGCCAAAACGTTGCTCAAGTACTTGGAAATGAGCCCACTGATCGCATTCGACTTCCCACCCATCATTTCGCCTGTCGATACCAGCAAATTGTATCCCTTGCGCATGTCTTTCGCCTTCTGCAGCGATGTTCAGTACGAGTCCGACGGATGTCCGTCAGCCACCGACAACGCCGTATCTGCTGGCGTCTTCAGCTGCGCGAACAACGTGCTTTCTCCCAATGCTGGGGAATGAGCATTGAGACACAACGATCCAACTGGTCGAATCGTCGCGATCGACGAATTTCGAGTGCGTGTCTTGATCGTCACGACCATCTCTTCCTGTGTCAATTTTTCCGTGTCCAACTGATCAATGAGCATGTCCTGTAGTCCATTCATCCCTTTAACCATCTTCATCTTCCGTAACGAAACGTCCGAGACGCTCCAAGTTACGAGTAACACCAGCAACTGCGCGTGGATGGTCAGTGTACTTTCAATCTCGAACTCAATCTGAGCGAGTCTCATCATGTTCCCTGCAAAGCGATCCCACACTTTCTTGTCCCAAATCTCAAGCGTCGCATCATGAAAAGCCTGTCTGTTTGCACCATGACGGACATGCATTGAAGAAGCGTGAAAGCCTCCGACTGCGACGTGCTCGTACGAAATCACAAACATCGCAGCGTCGATCGTTGCGGGAACGAGGACGTTGCCACGAGACTCCGACTCTGCGTCCGAATTGGGATGACTCAGATCCATCGTCTGCATGTGCATGCAGCAGTACAGAGGACACAGTGTGTGTCTTCACCACTTCTGCTGCCGCGGTCGCTCTGTTGTTCGCCAGTCGAGATGGACACAACGTCATCTCCTGCCACAAGCTTTTCGCTTCTGACGCGCCCCTGTCGACGTGTTCGCCACGACCCAGCGGACAAACAGTGCTGGGACCAATGGTGCAGATGACATCCAGAAGCAGTAGTAGCGCTGGTGGAAGTTGTGGCAGTCATTGCACCTGCGACAGCAGTAGCGACAGTCCCCGTCCAGACAGCACCAGTGCCAGCAGCTCAGTGAAGTCGCTAATCACCACGACTGCGGTCAAGGCGAGGCAGTCTTCTGCCAGATTACAGTCAATGGCAGCACTTGCGCCAATGACATCGGCCCTGCTACCTTACGCCATGTCAGTTGCATACGTCCCGCCGTTTCTCATCACCTCGTCGTCCACTGCTGCCACTAAAGCGACTGCAATGGACAGTGACGACGCGACTGCAGTCAATACCAAACGAGCGATCCGTCAGATAAAAAACCAAGAAAGCGCCAACAAGAACCGCTTGCACCTCAACGCGCGGCTGGCCCTGCTCATGACGGACGTGTCCGAGCTGAAGAAGAAAGAGCAGGAGCTTCAGACCGTTGTTGCTGGCCCGCAAGCTGAGAACAAGTTGCTGCTGGACCAGAACGCGTTCTTGCACTCATTAGTAATCAGTTGCAAACAAGAATCGTCTTCTCGAAAGGAGAACCCGTTGGATGCTGCCGCCTCGCTGCTGCTCTCGTCACCACTGGTGATGGATCAGAGCAGAGTGGAGCTTCACATGCTGGGGAATGGTCGGAAGAAGACAGAAGGCGACAAAATTGGCGGAGACACACAAGTTTCGAACATGACGATGATGACGCTTCGACTAGGCAAACGGCGTACCGTGGCGTCTACGCTGTCCGCCACAGCAAGTCTGACAGTGTGCTCGTCCGTGTTTGGAGTCACTGTTTTCACCAGCTACGATGGCGATGCTGTCGATTCTGGCACCATTCGCAGTGTTGGACGTGTGCTGCACGAGTCTTCGAAGTCGTGTGGCATGGCAAAGTGCTCGTTGGAAGCGTCAAAGTCATTCGCGGCGTTGGTGGAGACGACTGTGAGGTCTTCATGGCATGAGATAACGTCGTCCAAGCTGGTCTTTGGTGCATTGCTAAACGTGCTGTCTCTCGTTGCCATCGTGCTGCTGCATCGGCTGTAGCAAAGTCACGCCCGGCGGGGTGCGAACGAGTGTTGTCACGAATGGAAACGTCAAGTCACATTGAAGCTTATAGCAGCCTGATGCATGAGAGCAGCAGGCAGTAAGGCTTTTGTCTGGAGTTCTTCCAAATTAGTTTACATTGCAAATCTCCGCGTAAAACTTGTCACACTGCCCCGAAGAGTAATAATAAGCTCGGGCTGCTCACTTGTCAACGATTTGGTAGAATCGAAATAACTGTCTGGCATACAACCGGAACTTGGAGATTATTGAGGCCACTTCTCGGATCAATTTCATCCGGTCAAAGAGTGTTGACGGTGAACGTGTTTACACGAGCTGAACTGTCGATCGTGACCGCCCGTATTCTGAGCAATACATCGACCGTGAGCTGCTCTAGCGGATCCCATTTAGACAACACTGCCGTTCCAAGCGTTTTTTCGCTTCCACGTTTGGCGAGAACGAGAAAAAGATGACGACAATGTTCGCCGAGCTCCATCACATGCGCCCAAAGCTTAGACTGGGCTTGCTGGAGTTAGTCGCTTCGCTATCCTCGCAAACACAGTCACTAAAGGCTACTCTCTCACGCCATGACTGCCCTCTGGTCATGTCACTAAGACAAATCGATCACTGCTGTCTCCGTTGGTGAGCCATCCCGCCCAAACAAAAGCACGATAGCCGCCCTCGCATTGCTGGGCTCGCGAATGAGATGTATGCACTCATGAAAAAGCGCGTACGAAGTGGATCCAGCTACCGGTTGCATGTCGAAAAAGCTCTCGCTCACAAAATTAGCGAAAGATTGTGTCTGAGTGAACTCGAGCAGGAATCTCCGATTCGAGGGCACCGCGTCACAAAAGACTTGTGGTCAAACTGCGTAAACGAAGAAGGCGCTGCAGAACAGCGTTGTATGCAATCGTTGTCTTTGCCTGTCGGAAGCGCATGCTGTGTGTCACCAATGCAAGTATCTGGTTCCTGACCGTGACTGTTAACAAAGCGTTGATAATCACGACATAAGCTCGCAAACATAGCAGCAAAGGCTCCATGCAGCGTATCCACCCACGGTAGCGAGTAATTCTACAATGTGGTCTGCATAGCTGACACCAGCGACAAAGCTTGCAGTCGGTCAGCGAAATTGCAAGCGTAAGGAAGTGTCGCAATCAAGAATCGCAAGCGGATTGGACGGCTTGCACATTGCAAGTGATTGATAGTATCCTCAAACGTCAGGTCCATCGTGGGATCGCCATTGATCCCGATCAGATAACTCCCAGCGGATACCAGCCCCGAATTTTCTGCTGGACCTGCAATTCCATTCAGCAGCCTGGGCTGCGACTTCACGACTGCAGACTCACCCAGCTGGCGCTTGGAATCAAAGTTGCTGGCCGCTATCGCTGGACTTGAATAGGCGTGATCCTTGGGTAGGGGTGTTGGAAAACAATGTTTTACTGGCTTGTAACCCGCCACGTCCCAAACCGTCAAGAAAATGCCGTTGTCCAGGATCGGTTTTCATTTGAATATTGTGGTGTGCTGCAGGTGACAGACGACGCGGATCGTGAGCACATCTCGTGCTACCATCGCGCAGGGGCGAGGAGAAGCTGCGGACCTGAGGGTGGTGGTTGGTAAGACAGATAATGGTGGTCATAAACTCACTCTTTAAACGCTTTTGGGAGACCTCTTCTCTCGCCGAGACTTTACAATAGGATCACGAAGGCGCTAGAAGTGACGTGGATAAACAATGGGTCAAAAGATTAGTACCAAAGGATCGCACGGCACTCGTGCATATCCCGTTTATGTTCACGTGATCGAACTTCAGCAGAGACATGAAGCACGTTCTTGTGGCGCGTTGCATTGAGCAATTCCAATTGGTCGAGCCGATCGATCGACCAATTGGAACGTCGACCTCGATCATCCTCCCCCTCTTTCATTGCGTGATGAACATGTTACGGCGCAAGGGTACGACGTCGTCGATAGCAATGGCTCGGAATCGTGTGCGGTACATCCAGACGCAGTGCGTCGACCTCCGCCTGTATGTTCGTTATCGATCCCATGACGCTGATTTTATGTGCTCTGTAAAAATGAGCTCTGTCCACCCTCTTGTTCTAATGTAATTTGCTTACACATTATAGCCAAGAGCCCATGCCCATGGATCAAGTGCGTGAAATGGCAGACACAGAGCCCACACCACTTTCGCTGCAGCAGATGCGCTCGTTCTCGGATGGCTGTGCCAAGCTGCGCATCGTGTCGGCCAAGTTCTTGCACAAGGAGCTCCAGTCGCGATTCGCTCGGTGAGACTGTGGGTCGAATGGCAGATTTTTGAGGAGATATTATGCATCGTACACAACGCAGCACAGTGAGGTTTACTGATGGCTGCGTGCTTTTTTGTGGGTGGCCAGTGCTATCATGGAGCTGGCGGACTTGCCGATGGGGTTAAGTGATACGGCATCAATCCGTCAAGCGATCAACGTCTATCGTCGCGAGCTGCAGTGGATCAGCTGTACAAAGCCACCGAGCTCCATTGTAAGGAACACGTTCGTAGTAGAGCTTGCTGAGCTTTTGTTGCTGATATCGGTGTGAGAGCAGGTTGAGGACCAGCAGTTTACAGAGACGTTACGTCAAGCCAAGGCAGGGGGATCCAATTTGGTACCGCTGATTTGCTATGGACTGCAGCAGCTGAAAGCTACGGATCTTGGACATAGTGCGTTGCAAATCGAGAGTGCTCAAGAGGATATCAAGGACCGGCTGGACAAGTTTTTTCTCGGTCGTATCGGTATCCGAATGCTTATCGGTCAACACGTGGAATCGCTTGAACGTCCGGGCGGCCGTGTCCATCTTGTAAATGTAGAAGAAATCGTGCGCGAGGCTTGTGACCGTGCGACGAAGTTGTGTCAACAATTCTCTGGTGCAACGCCACCTCTAGAAATACACGCGACAGCGAGTGCTAGCACTCCGCTGATGTACGTGCGATCGCATCTGCACCACATGGTAAGTCGCTTGTGTCGCCTGCTCTGAGAGGTAACTGCTACTTTGTGTGTTGACTCATTGGTCACGTTTGCGCGCAGGTCTTTGAACTGGTGAAAAATGCCATGCGTGCTACGGTTGAGTACCACAGAAAGCTGAAACACAGAGCTCCGGGCGCAGTCAATCATTTTAAACAAACGATGAACCCGTACAGTCCGTCATTGGGTTTTTTCTTGCCGCCGGTACGTTCCTGACGGTTTGGTGTTATGGATGCTTGCTGGAAGTTCAATGTCCCATTGCTTGACTGTGATGAAGGTTGACGACGTATCGGGTGTCAAGATTTTTCCAGACATTAGCAAGTACAAGCTTCGAGGAGGTCTTCCACCGGTGGAGATTGTGATTTGCGTGGGGAGTGAAGATCTGACCATCAAAGTGAGCGACGAAGGTGGAGGTGTGCCGCGCAGCCGTTGGAACAAGCTGTGGCACTATGACTACACCACAAGTCCTCCATGCCCACCCATCGACTTTAACAACTACCACAGTTATCGGGAACACTACAGTGGAGGTGGTTACGGACTACCCATGGCAAGACTGTTCGCACGCTATTTCGGTGGTGAAGTCACATTTACGTCGCTTGAAGGGTCCGGGTCGACGGGGTTTATCCAGGCACATCGCCTGGGAAGGAACATGGAAGTCATTCCTGGGCACGCGTCTTTTAACCTTCCATCGCTATACTCCTAACTTAGACTTTCATGTTGATAACACCACCAACGAATGCGAAATCGGATGCAAGAAATAGAGCAATCTTCGGGTCATCATCCATTCACGGAACTCGCCAAACAAGACGCGATGAGCCGGCTGAATGTAGCTACTCACTTATAATTTACGGTTAAGACGTCAACTCGTAAAGCCACAAATGCGATCACAGCTCCTCTGTAGCCTAGAAAAGCTAACTTTACACCGGAATCCAGATGCACATGATGCAAGGCAACATCACTGTCAGAGAACCGAGACGTCGACGATCCAATGTCCACGAAATTGTCATCGAGCGCCGTATTGAAGACTGAGTCATGTTGGCAGCAGAACATTTCTGTGTCTTTTCGTTTGTGCTTGGTCGTAGTGCCAATTATCATGACGGAGGCTTTGCCGTCGTAGATAGCATACCGATCACATTATCTAGCCATACTGCTCTCATTATCTTCGCAACGCAGCGCCGTGATCGGCAAAAAGGGTGGTCATCATTTTCAAAGTCGAAGCCGCATGTCACGCTTCTTTTCTAAAGCAATAGCATCAAGTGATGATTTCTACGAAATGCGTAGGCTCGAGATACGAAAAGCCGCGTCGTGCTGATCCACACTTGGAAACAGTTCGGCTCGCATGACATCGTCGAGCGCAGTCAGTGCTCGATTGGCATGGAAAACTACAACATCATCGCGATCAACACGCGCCACGTGCTTGAGCGTACGATACAGCGGCAACAACTGATCCGGCATGAGTTCCAAAATCTTCCAGCCAAGCAGTTCAACGAGATACCGCAGCACAAACACTGCTCCTCGTCGCACTGCTACGACACGCTGCTGCCACTCTTCCTCTTGGTGTCTCTGCAGTTTTGACTGATCGTTGTCCACCGCGGCATCATTATCGATAGACATTGGTCGACGCTTAGCGTTATGCTCAAGCTCGAGCTCCAGCTGAAGAACGCCGAATACACATGTGAGCACATCCAACAGGTACGGCTGCAGTCCCCACTGCAGTAGTACGCACACTTCAGCCAAATTTGACAAACAGCTTGCCCGCAGAGTAGCGGCTGCAAGAAGCTCCTGTTCGTTCTCAGGCTCGCTGTCGAAATGTTCAGCGTTCTTTTCCACTAAATTTTTTTCCTTGCCAATCTGAATCTCTTGAACAAGTTGCATGCGCATGCTAGCCTCTTCTTGTACATGCTTCACTCGCTTTCTCTGGGACGGCAAAAGGCGGATGCAATCCAAGTATGCGTACACAAATAGCTTGCCATACTTGACCAGAGTCTCGCCACATCGCTTTGCTGCAAACAGCAAAGCTTCACTGAGCTTTATGCGAGCTTCTAATGACTCATTGACATCTCTCAGTGCTTTTACCAGTTCAGGAATAGCAACGTCGGGATTCGCATCGGATAGTGCTGCCAGAGCCTGCACAGCTGCAAGAAACACGTAACTTTCTGTATCATGCAAATGGGCCAAGAAGATGCGAGCTAAAACATGTACCCGAGTGGTCCACTCTGGATCGCGCGGATGTAAATGGCTTTGGCGCACAAGTTTTGTCAGGGTCACGATTCCACGTGCACGCAGCGGTACCAGCTCACTTGAAAGATCTTGTTCAGCTTTTTCAAGCAGTTCTTCAAAACTCTGTGTACTTGTCTTGGCTGTGCTTGTGTCACTAGCTTTCACCGCGCTACGACTCAGACATCGTGCACGTGCCTCGCTCGCAAGTCCTGCAGCTTCGGGTCGCGGGTGGCAAGACAAGATCTCCAGCACAGGAAGCATCGCACGAAGCTGCCGCTCCTCTAAATCGCTGCGGTGACTCGAGCCCATCTCTAGAATGGTCATCACTACACCTAAGCACACTGTCAGAATCTCATCCCCTTTTTCTTCCTCACCATCACTGTCATCATCATGTACAACGCTGCCAGTTTGTTGCATTTTGTCCACGGAAGGCGTCACAGGAGTGTTGTACGTCTCTAATACAGTGCCAACGCACTGCAGTACTGTAACAGCGCTGCGTAGCACGGATGGTCCCAAGCACTCGATGAGGGCCATTAGCAGCATTAACACGATCTCGATACTTTTGGCAGTCATAGGGATCGTTTTTGGTTCACGAAACGCTAGTCCCGACGCTACACTACCTTTCCGGGCGTTCAAATCGATAACTGCTGCTCCACCGTGTTTCCGGACGTTCATGTATGTCAATAGGAGCGATGAAAAGAGATCGCCTACCACCTCTGATGTCTCAAGCTTCTTGTCACCTAGCAGCCCCACCAGAGGCATTATCATCGCTTTTAGTGACTCTGTTGCGTTGTCTGGCTCGTTTTCTGTCAGCGAGGCAGAAGACTGAATGAGTCTCAGCGATATGCCGCCACCCCCTCCAGCACAAAATTGCCGCAGTGGTCTCCACAACTCTTCGGCATGGTTTCGTTCATATCCGCAAGCCATTAAGGTCGGCGGCAGGGGCAAAGTTACTGGAAGCAACACGAATTGGAGAAGAAGCGCAGCACTTGAGCACGAGTGAATCCACGCAGTCAGCACTGCACGCAAAGGTGATGCCAAAAAGCTCTTGCTTACTGCAGCAAATGCGTACATGTGCACAATAGGGCGAACAATAGGGGTGAGCGCTTGCAAAAGTTGTCGAGACGGAGGCGGGCCGCAAACGAGCAGTCGAGTGATACCCACACAGTGCGTCAAAGCTTCTTCATTCGTCTCTCCGGCCGAGACGATCGCATCTGGCCGACTATCCTCATAGATCAGCAACGGGTGGAACAATGCGGACAGAATGTGGGTGTCAAAAAGCCCCGGATGGCGTGTCGCTACCTGATCGGCAAGCAACGCCGCCATTTCGCCGAGTAGTTTGCTGCAAGTGTGGCCACTTCCAGGTGTCACGGCTGCAAGTAGCAGCTCGCGCACTTGTGTGCATAAAGCGATCACGTACTTTTCAGGGTCTTCACCGCTCGGACACTGACAAATAAGAGTAGCGACCTGCATTCTAGCTTGCGTGTTCCCCTCGTCTACCCCTCCAAGCAACGTTTCAATCGTAGCCACAATCCCCCCTTCCTCCATCAGTAACCGAGACAATAAGCTGCCGCAACGTGCTTTAAACCGCTGACCTACCGCGTGGCCACTCACCGCAGGAGTGGTCTGGCCAAGTGCCGCACGCAGACTGCTCATACTTATGCGCAGCGGTAGTGTACGTAACATCATTTCCTGCAGTCGCGTGAACTCTGTCCGGACAGATGATACTGCATTCGTATCCACCGCAACTTCTCCGTACACAAGTAAAGCTAGCAGCTCTACCACGTACTTGGGCAGCAGAACTGGTTGAAACTGTGGTAGCGACAGCAACTGCAGCACCACCTGCGTTATAGCCAGCAGCTCACGTATCCTTTCTTCACTCTGAACATCCTTTTCTTCAAGAATATGTCGAGCACAATACTCACGGTACCCCCACGAAAGCACATTTGTAGAAACTGCAGTAGCCATATAACGTCAGTACAATACCCACTATTCTCCCTCCTAGCTCCAGTTTGTCTCACTCACTTGACAGAGTGCGTGTAGGTTTTCTCTTCTCAATAGATAGTAGCACACCTGTAGCCACGCGAGGGTACGCGCCCCAGCAGAACAGCAACTCCACCGCCGCCTGTAGCACCGAATAGTCCCGCAAACTCAACAGTCCTGCGGGTGCTTTTGGCGTCTCCTCTTGCATCGTCAATCCTTGCCCTTTCTCCTTCTTTTCCTCCATCTCACGATCATCGAGACGCTTCATACAGAGATATAAACGCTGAAAAGTCGGCACGAGACCGCGTCTCCATGCTTCTTCGTGCCACAAGACGCTTGTTAGCGGCTTGGAAGACGCACAGAGCACACGCACGGCCTTCACGACATCCTTGTTTGCACTATCAACGTCTTCCGTCCTTTCAATATCGCGAAGAGCGTCTACGAACTCGCACAACGAGCACATTAGCGCCCGCTGCTCCATTTCAAACTCCATGCGCAAAAATGACAATAACCTTTGACTAAATCAAAATTCTAGCCACAATATTTTGGAATGACATTCTGGTCCTTTATTGGCTACGAATGTTTAAGCACGAGCAGCACGGTCATGGCGAAAATCAGGACAAGCAGCAAACCGATACATTTCATCGGTCGACTACTTTTCTGCGTCTTCTCTGCCTTCTCGAGCTCTTCAATGCCCTTCTCAGTCCGCTCTACTACCTGCTCCATGTTATAATCGATACGGTCCAAGATCGTGCCTTGATCAATCACGAGCGCGGACAATTCCTTAAATATTGTAGCCAGCTCCGTGATGGACGTGGCAATACGTTGAATCTCCTTGTCACGCTCATCAATCACGTCTTCGGCAACCTCGACCTCCGCGACTTGTGTCTGTGTAAATCCCTGCATCGATAGAGAACAACGTGCACGTGAGACTACACGAGAAAACCCCGTCGTAGCTACATTTGCAGAACAAGTACAAGCTTCGATAACGTACTGACTCCGCCCCACCACGTCGTTTCTGTGCAACGTTGTTGTCAGCGAGAAAGTCAAACTCGACCGGTCCCTCTTTCTGGTGCTTCACACGCGCAAGGTACGTCTTCTGCGACTTTCGAAAGTCGCTTGACAATGTCTGCAACTGCGTTGCCAGTGCTCTAATACATCGAGCCAAACCGAGCCAAACAAAGCCAACAAATCACGTCAACACTTTCCCACCGAATCTGCACTTCTCTGCAACACGCACCTCTGGACATTCTGTCGAGTCTTGGCATCAGCAGCCGAGAACTCTACATTCTCGTCGCCATGTGCCATCTTCCGCAACCCCTTTTCAGCACAACGAAACTCGTCCGTAATCTCCTGCGTCACGTCGTCAATCTCCAGCTCGTACTTGGACTCGGAACCGTCAAAGCGCACCATGAGGCGACTCGTGTGCAGTGTACTCAATCTCGCCACTGCAAGAGCGACACATTTGCACGAAACATTAGACCCCTCCTGGTGTAGCTGCTGGAACCTCAGAGAGCCACGTACTCATCTCCTTGATGCGAGCCACGTGTCGATTCGTGTCATTCACAATGTCAACCCATCCGGGAGCAACAGCAACACTCGTGACCTCCTGCTCCACGCTCTCGTGGCGCGCTTTTTCCTCTTCTCGGTGGCGATAGCTCACAATGTTCTTCCGTCGCAAGACTTTGGCCTTCTCCTGCGCACGCAGCTGCACGAACTGACGCGTCAAATTACGTGTCGCCATACTGCTCCTCCCCTTCTTCGTCTCTTCTTTCACGCCGGTGAAGATGAAGCAGGTAGCGAGAGCGCGTCCTGTCTGCGCTGCGCCCAAAAAGGTGCGAGATCCCACGTCCGGTCTTCTCTCTGACACTGCTTTATATTCGGAACTTGTACCACAATTCGTCGCAAAAATCAAGTCGACTGGTCTCTTCTTTTTTCCGTCAGCACAAATGGGTTCATTTCTGTCGGTCTGCACCTGCAAATGGGTTGATACTTATGTGGTGCACACCGAACAAGCCGGACCAATTGAAGTGCACGTAGTGAGTACGTACCCGCGTCAATCAACCTCCGATGCGCTGCTGGACGTGGAGCTCCTATTCGCTCATTTCTCTACTATCAAGTGCTTTGTGGACGTGTGTATGGACCTCACACGTTATTCGACTGGAGCACTGGAAGTTCTGCTCGAGAAATGGATCCGTGTGCGTCAAGAACGCGTCAGTACCAGGCACGTCGCATGTCCACTTGATGGAAGCTAAAGTGCTGCAGCAAGACCCGAACTACCGCTTTAATGAGGACCTCTATCAATGGGTAGCACAAGAACAATGGACGTACGAGACGCACGTGGAGTTGCCAGCGGAGGTTGTTGACAAGACACAGGCGACGCTTGTGTTTGAGACACTGGATGGTGTCGCTCGAGTACGAGTCAACGGCAAGCAGGTCGCTGCGACGGCCAACTCATTCGTACCTTATCGGATTGATGTGGCAGAATTTCTTGTAATCGGTGTGAACGAGATTCAAGTGGTGTTTGAGCCCGTGATGCAGTACGCGAGGCGGCAGGCTGACAAGTATCCTTACTTTGTCCCTGCCACAGAAAACTTTAATACGTGGACAGAGCCGTCACGACGCTCGTTTGTCCGGAAAGCAGGATCTGACTTTGGATGGGACTGGGGACCGGCCTATGTGACAGTAGGCATTGCTGGATCAGCGTTTATTGAGGTCAAAGAGCCTTTGGTGGAGCTACTGGACTTGGACGTGCTGCAGGTCTTTCCGAATGGGAACGAGGACCTGTCAGTGGTGGAAGTGACAGTTAGCGTGGTGGTAGGGGGCAAAAACGAACAACAGGAGGACGTCATACTGGAATTGTTTGTCGATGACGTGAAAAAGGCTGCAATCACTACGACGATACCGGACAATCGGACGGAAAATGCGGCGGTCGAACTTACGTAAGGAGTACGTCTGGTTTTCCCACTACTTCAGTTTTACTAATGTTGCTGCCTGCAGGTTTCAGCTAAACCATCCCAAGCTGTGGTGGCCAGTAGGGTACGGCGAAGCGTACCTGTACGACATACGAGTAGATGCGCGGAACGCGCAGATGAACTCGTCTCTTGTTCAGAAGACCGGCATTCGTCATGTCGAACTTATCCAGAACGACACGAATGCTGGCAACGTGACTGGAAAGACGTTTTACTTCAGAATTAATGGCGTCCCCGTGTTCATCAAAGGCGCAAACTGGATCCCGACGGATCCGTTTCCTACGCGTACCAAGATATCTACAGTGCGGCACTTGCTGGAGAGCGCGCGTGCTGCCAACATGAATATGGTGAGGAAGCTACATCCCTTGGTATTTATCGGTTGCTCATATTGTTTTGTTGCAGATACGTGTGTGGGGCGGTGGTAGATACGAGTCCAACTTCTTTTACTCTGAATGTGATCGATTGGGCATCTTAGTATGGCAAGAGCTCATGTTTGCATGTGGAATGTATCCTCGAGATACTGCATTCCTTAACAATGCACTAAGGGAGGTGAAGTATCAAGTTCGCCGACTTCGCAAATACACCAGCATCGCCATATGGGGCGGTAACAACGAGAATGAGAACATGATGGAGCAATTCGCCGAAGCTCCGATCTTCCCGTCAGGAACAACGTTCAATCGCGACATCGCGGTTGCCGACTATACCAAGCTCTTTGTCGACCTCATTCGCCCCACCGTCACTGCAATCGACTCATCCAGGCCGTTCGTTGACACATCTCCGTCGAACGGCTTGTATTCGATCGATCCTTACGTCAAACGATGGGGATCTTCGAACGGGGTCGCATATGGGTAAGTTACGTCGGATCTTTAAAGGAAGTTAACTTGCGAAGATCTATTGATTGTTCATGTTCTTTGGACATGATGCTGTTGCAGGGACGTGCACTTTTACGACTACCACAACGATTGTCAAGACTATCGGATATACCCACGGGCCCGCTTCATTTCCGAATTTGGTTTCCAGAGCTGGCCATCAGCTGCTTCACTTCGCAACGTTAGCTCGGCAGAAGACTGGGACTCTCTCCAAGCGTTTTGGAAATTCCTGAAGTTCCGCGAAAGACATGAGAATGGCACGACTCAGATGCTTGCACAACTAGAGCGCCGCTTTGATATCCCGTTACCCTTTCGCAACGAGAACTGGATAACGGAGACATCTGCTACGTCGGGAGATGAACCATACATTTTCAGCATCAACAAAAGCATCGAGTCGTATTTGTACCTCACTCAAGTTCAGCAATCCTTGTGCTACCAAACTGCCATTCAAACTTGGCGACGCGGAAAGAATCACGAGCTCGGCATGACGATGGGCATTTTGTACTGGCAGCTGAACGATATCTGGCAAGGCAGCAGTTGGTCAAGCATCGAGCACGCAGGTCGATGGAAAAGCTTGCACTATGTGGCAAAGCGAGCGTTTGCTCCGTTCATCCTTTCAGTCCATGAGCAGAGCAGTGGGGAAGCCGTGCAAGTGTACGGCGTGAGCGATATGAACCAAGTTCTGCTTGTGGACGTCGTTTACGAGCTCCGACGAGTCAAGTGTGGCAGCCTCGTGAAGTCGATTGCTCACACCGCCATTGAAATTCCAGTGTTGGTGTGTGATGATGATGACATGCAGTACGAAAGTTGAGCTCGCTAACGATATGTGTGTGTGTGCTGTGCGTAAATGCAGGAGAGCCGGTGGATCGACGAGCTCAACGTCGATACTTCGCTCGACCACAATGGCACCTCTTGTTGTCGCCGATCCTGCTACTTACACATCCGCTGTATCGTGATGACCAGCGGCTCTGGTTCCGAAGTGGTTCCTGCATGCGAAGACTCGCATCACTTTTTTGCGCCTTTCAAGCACCTCACCCTGGGGCAAGGCGAGGTGATCGTGCATTCCGTCAAGAACTCAAATGCCGTCAACACCGCTGCTATGTTCAGTGTGGAGCTCGTGTCGACGGACTTTGTGGCTCTCTTTGTCGAGGTGGATGTCCCGGGTGTGCTCGGGTACTGGAGCTCGAACTCGTTTTTGATGCTGGGCAATGCAACGAAAACGCTCACGTTCACGCTCGCGGATTCACAAGAGGCGGACAAGGTCTCGGTTGCTACTTTTTCCCACCTGATCGCTGTGAACTGGCTGCAAAAGAGCGCTGACAAGTCGATCGTGGACGTCGCGGTCATGTAAGCAGTACGTCTGTATCTTTTGTGTCCGTATGTCTCATGCAAATCATCTTGGCACGAACTAAGTGATACGCTTGCTGCCCAGAAACAGGGTGCTACCTGGCCAGCTATCCCACTACGTACTTGTCACGAGGAGCTCATCGTCACTTTTCTACTTGCAAAATGGACGACCCTATAGCCACCGAGCAGCTCCGATACCTCAACGACTCGTTCATCCGCGGCTCTTTGACCCGCCAAGAGTATGACGAGCTGCTGCCATTCCTGACATCACCGACGTCCCAGACACCGCCACACGAGAGCCAAGCCCGCGATACAAGAACAGCAGCAGTAACACCATCAAGGCCCCAGCGCAGCGTCCACTTTGCTGACAGCGTGCCACCTCTAGAGACCAGTGAAGCTTCGTCGCAGTATCAAATCCTGGCTCCTGTGGCGGCTGCTTTCTCGGGACTGGAGCTGCGCTGTCCAGTATGCGGCACCAGTAACGACACGACGTCCACCTCTCGCTGCTACGCGTGCGAGTCGCACCTTACCATGATCGATGAGCAAAGAGCGAGGAGAAGCGTTGACACAGTGAGAGGAAGCTGGCCTACCGTGACGGCTGTATCACCGTCAAGTGGCACGCTTTCGATGTCTCGAGACGGGCGACTCGTGATCTACGACGGCTACTTCTCGTGTGTTATACTGGACACGGAGGTCGTTGCGACGGCGCAAGGAGGCACTTGTCAGGTCTTTGTCATGTGCTGCACGTGGCAACCACGGGAACTGGATGTAAGTCGCGGGTACCCAACACGTGCGAGTTGGTACGTCTCGCAACGCTTTAGCCACTTTGAGAAGCTGCACAAAGTGTTGAAGAGGAGGTTCGCACGCTTGACGACGGCGTCGATGCCTCCGTTTCCAGCCAAGTATCACCTGATGGACCGACGAGAAAAGAGGAAGCAGGGCTTGGCAATCTACATGCCGCGGCTCCTGGAAATGTGTGCTGGTTTACCCACCGCCCCACGGATGCCGGAACTCGACGAGTTCCTGGACATAGCGCGTCAGGTCCAGTTCTTCCGCTCGCAACGTCCGCATATTGCAAGTCGAGCGGCTTCAGCACCGGTACGAGAGGCAGACTCTATAAGGCTGCCTTTGCAGTCGCCAGCTCCACCTATGGATGAGGTGGAACTCGCCCAAGCGGAAGGTGCTGTACGACTACTTGCTGAAGCGGTACGGAATGCTCAAGGTGATGTGCGTGGCGACCGCACCGTCCAGCATCATTTGGACGTGTGCATACGGTTGGCTCCAAGCCTGCAGCGCTCTGCCAAAGTGGACAACCCGTTTACCAGTGCAGACCTCATCCCTCGTGCCATGCAGTGCCAAGAAGACTTGCAGCAGGCTGTCGCGATGTACAATGACGCTTTGCTGGCTGTTTCAAATGCAGCTCCGATCCAGCAGCCGCAAGCTCAGCCGGAACGATACGTCCAAGCGCAGCCGATATTTGGTCGCAGCATCGTACATGCAAGTGCTGCCTAATGGATATGGTCACGATGCAAGTGTGGGTTCCAACTTGACCGACACCGGCTCGAGGGCTTTGGATGATGGTACGGTGACCTGCTTACCAGCTATTTCCTCGTGTGTCTAGTCATGTTACCGGTGAATGTGTGCTTTGTAAGGGTTAATGACATGTATTGGGGAACATGCAGCAAACGTAAGCATCACCTCACGCACCACCTGCCTGCCTGTTCACTTCTTCCCAGAAAGCTACTGCCGACGCCTTCCCGTTGGTTGTGTCGTCCTAAGCTTCGCGCAGAAGAGCATTTGCTGCAAGCCTCAGTAGCATACCTGACCACCATTTCACAACGATCGTCCCGACAGTGGTTGTTTTACACACCGTAGCTCGGGTGGTACGAGTTCTGCTGGCCTGGAACGTACGGAGGTGGGGCCTGAGCCCCGCCGTTCTCCTGAGCCGAAAGCGCGTAAGTTTCCGTGACAGCGAGCAACGAGTCGTTGTACAACCCCATGGTCGTCTCTAGATCCTCCTGGCACTGCATCGCACGCGGAATCAAATCCACATTGGCGAACGGATTGTCCAGATTGGCCGAGATCTGCAGACGCGGCAAGAGCTGCACGCACACTTTAAGGTGATGCTGCACTTGCAAGTCGCGGCGCAAGTCGCCACGTGAACTCCGGATGGATGCATTCAACAGCGCTACAGCTTGTTCGGTGTGACACAGTTCTTCTTCATCCAGCGGAGTGGGCAATTCAGTAGGCAAACGTGCCTGCTCTCGGGCTGCCATTCCTTCAGCACCACCAGCATTCACGTTCAGTGCACGTCCCAGTCCGGCTGGTGCGGCACCAGGCTCGTCAGCACTACCAGACATTAGCTGACGCCGGTATTGCTCAACCTGGCGCGACACGTTCAAGAAGCGGTCCAGCTCGGGCACGTTCAGGTTTTCAGGAAGTCGAGCACACACGTCTAGCACTTGCGCCACGTATCGTTCCAGACCCTGCTTGCGTTCCTCAACAATTGCACTCGAATTACCCGTCTTCCCCTTGAACACACCTCCCAAGACGTGTTTACGAGGAAACATAGGAATCATAGCCACTGCAGTCGGGATCTTACGCTTCAGATCCTTGTGCAGCTTCTCAAACACGCTGAAGCGGTGCGACACAAGCCACGTCGTCGATTCGCCCGATTCTTTCGGCTGCCACTGGCAACGCAGTACATACACCGTGTACTCCGTGTAATTGTCGTCCTGAAGGATTTGCGTGCGGTGCATCTGCGCCTCGAAGTATCCATCGTGAATCATAATGTGGCCATTCTCCGTCGTAAACGTGCCCAGAGGAGCCGTTAAGGTCGACAAACTCCTCTGCTGACGAGACTCACTCCCATAGTAGCCTGGGTCAGCGGCGGCAGCAGCCGCTTCGTCACTTGTAGTAAGCAGAGAGCCACACTCGTCGCAGTGGTTACCGTTGGCCGTGTTGTTCGTCGCACCGCAAGCCGGGCAGCGAATTTGAATGCCGTAGACATTCGCTGTATACAAGCGACTCAACGACTCCTCCTGCTCAGCAGTGAGGGCAGCACCTGACGGGGCTTCTTCAGGCTTCTCCAGCAAGAACGGCACCAATTCATCGTACTCAGACTGAGCGATAGCACCACTCAACAGCAGATCGTTTAACTGCTGCAACTGCTCGCGGTTCTCCTGCGATACATTGTCCGGAATCTCCACCACGTGCACTTGACCAGCAGGTGTCTGCACACTGTTCACCTGCGCAAGCCCGCTCAACAGACTGGCACTGACGCTCGCAGCCTCTAGCAGAGCCTGCTCCTTGCGGCGTTCGGCCTCCTCACGTTCGCGCTTCATACGCTCTTCAAGTTCTTTCGCCTCTGCGATAGCACGCAGTTCCGCCTGTCGTTCGTGCTCCACAGCAGCAGTAGCCTCGGCTGCAGCAGCCTCGGCTTCAGCTACCGCAGCCGCCGCTTCCTTAGCAAGTCGGATCGCTTCTTCCTCTGCGGCACGAGCTTCTTCCTCCATGCGGGCGCGATCATCTTCGGCCGCAGCGCGCGCAACACTTTCTCGACGAGCTTGTTCAGCTGCTAAACGGGCCTCTTCTTGTCGGCGCTTAGCTTCTTCGGCCTGGCGTTTAGCCTCGGCAGCACGTGCAGCTGCCAAAGCAAGCATTTCTTGTTTCTTCGACTTGAACAAGCGGCGTGCTGTCATACCACGGAACATGGCCTGCACCACCACCACAGCCGATCGCTTCTTCTTAAAGTCACGACGCACCGACAGTGCACGCCACCAACGCTGAATGCGCACCACCGAGTTGCGGCGGAACTGGATGCGACGCAACAGCTTCGAAAAGCTGTTTTGCGCGACGACCTTGGCCAGACCCACACGCCAACGGCGACGAGCCAGCCACAACTTCATGCGTGACACGATATGCGGGCCTTCTGTGGCCCAATTGATCTTCAAGATCGAGTCCAGCACAGCGATTTTGCCGGCCTTGAAGAACAACTTTGTTATACCCAGCTTGAACGCATCCATCGGCACCTGAAAAGCCCACAAAATGGCTGTGATGAGCGTCGGGTCGCTCTGGTTCGCAAACAGCCTTTGAGCATCAGGTGGCATGAACTTTTTGTAAGCTCCCACCAGCTCGCTGTAGCTCACACGAGTAGGTAAGCCAACCTTTAGCACCTGAGCAGTTTGCATGATGCCTTGGCACCGAAGCTGACCCACGACGTATCGGGGATCGAACATGCCTACACGCATGAGCGCGTTAGGCTTAATGCAGCGGATGAAGTTACACCGCGTAGCGTCCAAGGTTTCCACCAGCTCCTGCATCTGATTCGAGAACTTGGCTGCCACACTCTTGGTCAGTTTCCTTTTACCTGGGCGACTAGTATCGGGTTCCTGCTGGAAGAATGCAGGAACCAGCACATTCGACGAGCCTGAGAAAAGATTAGACATGTCTGCGGGAATAGAGTCGTTATTCTTGTCGATAAAGGACCCAATCGTGTAGCTCACGGCACCAGCAAAATGCCTCACAATGAACATGTGCTCCATGTCCTTTGGGTGCGGCCGTGGAAAGTGCGGGTGTTTTGAGTGCTTCGAGTGCAGTGCACGCAAGAACTTTGTGTCACTCGGCTGTGGGTTCATAGCCTCCGCATCCAGAAGCGTCAAAATGCCGTTAGGCTTTGAAGCAATTAACTCCACGCACTCTCGATTGTCAGGCCACTTGATCTTGCCCACGGTAATACCTTCGCGCTTGTACAGCTCCATTTCTGCAATGAACACTTGGTTGTTAAATGTCGCCTGCAGCACCTCATTCGTGTAATTGATCAGCAACTGCTCAAAGTCATTGCGTTGGAACGATTCAAAACCAAAGATGTCCAGCACACCGATGTACGGCAGCGGGTTGGGGTCATGACCCAACGACGAGTTAACCTGCTTAATCACCCAGTCAAACATGCGGCTGTATAGGGCCTTTGCAATGGCATCACGGGCGTATCCGGCCGCTTGTTCGTTACGCCGAACAGTATACGTCTCCTCGCGCGTCACAATATCACGCGTCATGATCACCCTCCACATGTCTTCCTCCTTGACACCCAGCAGTTTAGCAGCCACAGTAATAGCACGTTTCGCCGATTGTTTTTCGATAACAGCGGCTTCTCCTTCGGGCGTGTCTTCTTGGTCGAACTCGATGTTACCGAGGTGAAGCAGACCAGCCACTACCGAAAAGATAACATGCTGGACCTGGTCGTTGATACCAACACAACTCAAACCGCGCACCACAGCCTCAAAGCAAGCACGGTCATCTGTCTCCTCAGCAACGTAGCATCCACTCTGGTTGAGATAGCAGAAGTCTTTGGCCTCCGTGAGCTCAAACTCCTGGCGCGCTGTCGAGGAGATTCCAGCCAAGAGCTGGTAAAAAATGTGAAAGTTGCGCTCGCCGTCCACTTGGTACACCAGTCGTGACTTTTCAAGTAAATACGTTTCAACAAGAGCACCAGCCAGCTTGAAATCGCCATCTGACGTGAACTGCAGCTTCATAAACTTGCCAAAACGCGACGAGTTGTAATTGCGCAGCGTTTTCGCATTTCCAAATGCTTCCAGAATGGGGTTCTGTTCGATCAGACGGTGGTCCAGTGACGTGCCATGCTGTTGCCGCGTCTTCGACATGGTCTCAATCTCATCCCCGCGCGCCTTCTTGCCATACAACCCACGCGTCGTCAAGTGCCGCAGCACAATCTTAGACGACTCGGTCTTCCCGGCGCCACTTTCGCCACTAATGACGACCGACTGGTTCGTTGGTTGGTCCGTGCCCGAGTTGTACACCATCTGCTGGTACGCCATTTCGGCAATTGAGTACGGATGCGGGGCACTACCGGCTGTGTTCACAACTTCACTGATCTGTGGATTCTGCAGCTCTCGCAATGGATTCACTGCAATCAGGACGTTAGCCATAAACGTATAGGGCCTTTGCGTCCCCTCGAGCTTGCACCGCTCTTCCAAGTTGTGCAGCACGCCCGGCTCATGGATGTAGTAGAGAGACGTCATGTCATCAGCTTCACGTGGATTCTGGGGCAGCGCAAGGCCTCGATCGACTTGCTGGATCTTCCCGGCCTGGGTACGTACCGTCACTTTGAGCCCTCCAATGGCCATAACAGTGCCTTTGTCCCAAACACGGTCTGTTCCAGGCACCCAGATGGTCTGGCCGATTTCCACAGGCAGCAACTCTGTTTCAACATCGGATTTCAAAGCTTGGCGGGCGATTGGGGGAGGGGTCGCCATCGCGTGCAGTCAGGACGCAAGAACTAGCGGAGTGCGCAACGGTGAGTGGTACAAGATAGCTCGTTCGAGGCGTGACGCGGCGGCGGTTCAAATGAGGTACAAGTGGCGGGGTGGAGCGCCGCGGGGACCGAGCAACGGGCGTGGGAAGAAGGTCGCAGCTCTGCGGGTTGCGACGCTTGGCTTGAAGTGAGCGAATGAATCCTCCCTTCGCCGATCGCTTGTTTCTGGCACGTGATTGGCTCGTTGGGTTTCTTTTCAATCAATCAAATGAAGCCTTGTGTGACGTCGCCTCGTCGTGTCACGACCGACACGCGGATTGCGCTGTTTATGTACTATGATCGTTTGTCGCATTGTGTAATAAGACCAAGAGGCGTTCTTGAGAGAGTATGCTAGTGACTAAAGATTCAGCGCAAGAGTGTGGCGTTCGCTCATGGAGTGATCACCAGAAGGTGGAAGAGCAGTACGATGGCGCCTTGTCATGACGATGAATTCGACGAGGTGCAGAGTAGCAAACTTCATTGCTGAGCAGTCGCAAAACGCTCCAGTCGCTTTTGTCGCTTCTCTTGAAACTACACAACAACACACATAGCCCGTCAGTCGTGGTTACAAACGGCTCGGCGATGCTGCAACACACACGTACCACTTCGCTCGTCTCAAGGTTGAAGCGCTTGGCACGCTCGAGACGCCGGTCCTCCTCTGCGTTGAGACCAAAGCGTTTCGTGCGTGCGTCTTTCTTCTTCTCGAACTGACAACAGACAGCAGAGAGGAACAAAACGTGTCACTTTCACCACCATCGGTCACGTCAACGTGGCATGCACAAACAGCTACGTGCCGTGTCATCTGTTTCCGAGTGGAACCGCTCCGCCCGCTTCAGTCGCTTTGCCTTTTCCTCCTCGGTTCCTGCATACCAGATAAAAGTATCCGCACTGATTCATTAGTTACTCCGTCGATCAAATGGCATCCGCGGTCTCTCCCAAATTGAACCCACCTGCACTAGGAAGGTCGAAACGCTTTGCACGCTGAGCCTAGAGACGTTAGCCACGCCAGAACAGCATCACCAAACATCAGTCATCACCACACCTTGGTCTCCACACTACTTCATTCACAAGGCCTTCCTCACCTTCTTGTCCTCGATACTCAAAGGGATGCCAAACTTGGCCGCACGAGCCGCACGCTTCTGCTCCTCCGTCATGACTGCCACAGGTGCGTCCGTTTCCTCTTCACCAGTACTCTCTATCTTCTTTTGCTCTTCCTCTTCTTCCTTCTCCTCCGATACACCATCAGCTGCAGTGGCACCAGCGTCGTCATCTCTCTCATCCTTCGTCTCGCTTAGAGCGGCGGATGAGGATCCCACAATAGCGACTATCGGCTTCTTGACAGGCGCAACGTGCTTCGATCTTTCTCCTTGAATCTTCTCGGACTCTTCGTCGGCCATCGTGACCGCAGCAGCAGCCAGCACAGCAAGCGTCTCCTTCCTCTTTGGCTCGACCTTCTTGATCGCCTTGGGACTCGCCACCTTGAGCTCCTCCATCTCCTGCGCCTCGCTGCCGAACTCTTCCTCGTCCATCGCCAGCTCCAGCCGCTGGATCAGCTCCGTCTTCAGTCCGTTTGAGCTCATTCCGCGCGACTCGAGAGCCGCGCGCAGCTCGCTCACTTTCATCTTTTTCGGGTTCCCACTCGTCATTTTCGACTTTTGGCGGCGTTTTTTGCTCCCACAATATCATGTCAATATTGCAAACCGTGTCAATCTGCAAACCGTGTCAATATTACGAAATCCCGTCAAATGGGATCAACCGAGTTCATCTCGCTACTTATGTCAATATTGCAAAAGCACGTCAAATGGGATCAACCTAGTTCATCTCGCTACTTGTGTCAATATTACGAAATCCCGTCAAATGGGATCAACCGAGTTCATCTCGCTACTTGTGTCAATATTGCAAAAGCACGTCAAATGGGATCAGCCTAGTTCATCTCGCTACTTGCGTCAATATTGCAAAAGCACGTTATTGTGATTGAGTCGTGTCAATATTACTTCAGCTTACGACGATTGTGTAAAACTGCATTTCAAATAAAAGCTGTCTGCTTGTTGCTAGTTTTTTAGTAATGTTTTGGACTGGAGATACGTCTGGTCTCAACGACGACCTATGGAACTGCTGCAAAATTATTACGGAACAAGTATGCCAACCTACAATTCCAAATTCACTGGTAATTATTTCGGCTCCCACGGACCTCTAATGAAGGAGATCTTCAGTATTTTGAAGTGTGTCGATCCTGTTCATTCATCGTTCATATAAGAACCGAATAAATTGCACGATATGGCCAGATTGCTTGACTATACTTTCTTCGTTTGTCTCCTAAAATTGCAATGTAAGGATTGCATTGAAGCATTTTGATGTTGCAATGTTCCGTTAAATACACCCCACATTTTACTAAATATATCCCACGTTTTACTACACCCATGCGCCACACCGCGATTCTGGATGTATGACAAATATCGCGCAATCATGCCTCTGTACGACCAATATCACACAACAATCTGCATCAGTCGTACAAATGATGAGTGATTTACCAATTACTCTTTCTTCGACTGGAAATGGCGTTTACGAAGGCAAAGAGCTTTAGTCGTCCATTGCGTGCGAAAAGAAATTTGATCAATGGATCATGTATTACTACTATACGATCGATGCCGACTGTTGTGTGATAGTGATCATACAGAGGCTTGGTCGCGCGACATTTGTCGCATGAACGGAATTGCGGTGTTGTATGGGTGTGATGTATAGGTAGTATTTAGTAATAAGTAGGGTGTACTTGACAAAGCCCGACCAACAATACGAATACTTGGCACACTATCGTAGCAAATAGAACGTCTCAGGATATTCCACTCGGTTGATATATGTCCGCTTCAAATACAACACTTGCTCTACATCTTTTTTCAATGTAGTTATAGCCATGACGAGCAACACAGAGGAAGTCGCCGAGCTGTAAGCACTGCTGGCGCGGATATAGGATGGTGAAAACCGTTGCAATCGGGACAATTGCTGTGTCACAAAAAGAAGGCAACGCAGGTCGTGAAGACTTTGGCCGCACGTGGTCGCGGCTTCAATCACGTTACACGGTTAAGAATGTCGCGACATTCATAAAAGAATAGGTCGCTTTCACTGGGAGAACGAGGGATACGGAGAGGGAAAGGCGGCGGTCTTGTTGTGCCGAGTATTGATGAAATGGGCAGCTTTTTCAAGATAAGCAAACGTCACTGAGACTTCATTATTATCGTTTCGCCAGTAAGTAAGGAAGAATTGATCAGCTGGAATGAACCTGGTGGGGTAATTGCAGATGTGAGTGAAATGTTATTTTGAGCAGATGGTGTTTTTTTTACCAAATGGCAAGAATTACCGGTGGATGAAATTGCGCGTCATTTTGACATGCTTAAAGAATGTGTGTGGAATCGAGCGAAGCATCTCACATAGAGCGTCAAAAAAGCTGCTGCAGGAAGAGATTCACACACCCGAAAGCTCGTTCCGGATTATACCAAATACTGATCAGTTTTGTGTTCGAACAGGATGGACAAGAAGGTGTCTGATTGAATTTGGACGGACACGAATCCGCTCACGACCGCTAAACCGACACAATTGGCTCAAGTGAGACATACGATGGACATGATGAAGTTGCGTTCAATTTGACGATGATCTAATAATTGTGATCAGCACATGTTTGATGTGCATTGATCGGATAGAACATGTTCGGCGGAGGCAATGATGAGACGGATACAAATATTTCCAAGGCGTGGTACAGAGCCGCAGGACGGTGAGCATGATAGTTGTTTCGTATTTAATGGTAGTGTCTGCCTGTTGTACGTGCCCATTGTAGAGAGGTAGGATACAAGCCACTATTTCCCGTTGCTATCACGTCGTACTATTACCGTTGTCTAAGCATTGTTTTGCATGCCGACCTAATGTGGAAATAGCCTTCATAATACCCGATTGAATGAGCACTTGCATGAAATTCGGATGGTATTTTCAGAATCTGCTCGAGCATTGACAGATAGATGAAGATCGAAGCGCTATATTTTGATTGGCCTAAAATAAATCGCCAGTGCAAGGACCCGTTCGCGACTGGTACATTCAATCATTTCTCTTGTTTGTGATGAATGAGTCCGTGTTCGCTGAGTTGAACCAGTTGGTCTATCGCTTGTGCGCACCTGTACATGATCAAGGATATTTTTGCACTCTGGAACCGCAAAAACAGTCGAGCGTCACATAATCGCGATTGCCGGCAGCTTCTCTATGTGTATGTGCTGTCCTCTCATGTGCCGTTGAAGTTCTTGGCATGACCACAACACAAGTACGTATTGGTATCGGGTGTACTAGCCAAACATTGCCGCCCAAATCATTGACGCGCAAAAGTATCGTTTGATAGCTACAAAAATCAAGTGCAAACGGATAGTCCATTATGGATGTCACTAATACTGCACATCGATTGCATGAAGGTAGATGAGATGTAGTAAAATTCTGGGTGCAGTGCCGAGTACACTGTTGTGATGCACCTGTATACGTCGAGAAGAGACTATGAGATTTTTTTTACCTTAGTTTGAAGTAGCATCGGGATTGCGCTCGGTTGCTACACTACTTTACGTTGCTTCGTCCAACTCTTGGCCGTGAGATGGACCCGAGTCCGCGCAAATAACTGCTCCTGCATTACGCGCAGCTATACTTTTACGTAGCACAAACACTTGAACACCACAAGTCAATAGTCAGTCAGCTCTACGAGGTTCTGTGACAGTGCGCACGACCTCTACTTGAGTCTCAGCGATAGATGCTGTTCTGTACGTTCGTTGTAGATCATGGCGATGATGTGAGACCGATCTCGAGCATAAGCTAGAAGGTGTCAGTTTGTAATAGTGGCCAAACGATAGCTGTGCGTATTGCTGCAGCCGAACATACAAAGCAGTTGAGTGCCTGAGCGCGCAATGTGCATCCCACTATGGAGCAGTCTCACTGTAGACGTTTGTTTCTTGTGTGATCAAAGATCACGTTGCCTGATGTCCGGCCAGCTAGTGTAGTGATGAATCGACGTCTGAGAAGACAGGCATCAACACATTACAATCACACTTTCATTACAGCTTCCCTGACGATAGCCCCTGTGCATAGCCACTTTGGAAGAATACCGTCGTTTTCCTAACGCAGTCTCCCGTTTGCCCAATAATCGGTGCAATCCACGACAAGTCGGTCCATCATGACAAACCACCTTCGGTCTAGAATAGTCATCTCGCCTATTGCGAATGTTCACGTCTAGACAGATATGAGTATCTCCATCCTTTCTGCTACGAGCGCACTGGAAAGTCGTACTCAACACGTAAAGTGCTGTGTGTGACCGTGTGATCATGAACGAACAATTACACGGAGATGTCAAGTGCTGGTTGACCAGAATCAGTGTCGAGCTGCCGTCAAGAGCCAAGTCTGTGCCAATTTCTGCAGCCAGTATCGGAAGCGCACCCAATTTCCGACGTTGTATCACAAGCGACAACACATGAAATCACGAAGACGCAATTGATTGCACATGCGAAGAAAGGGCTTGAGAAAAGTAGGGTTGTCTGCATTACCACTCATGATGACTAGATCTACGAGGCGTCCTTGTTACACGGACGTGCGAGTACATTTCACGACCGGACAACACGTTGAAGCAGAAGACAGATATCGACTTCTCGTGACATACCGATGTCGACTTGAGTTGTGCGAGCTATGTTAGGTGCCGACGCGACAAGTTAGACGCAGACATTTGGTTTTAGGTGAGTGTACATGGAGGTTTTTTGCATCACATATCCAGAGTATACGATCCCTAAGCCGGTGAGAACTCTACATCGCGACGTCAACATACCATAATTAAAACAAGAGCATGTACACCGTGGACAAGAAGCTAATTGCCAGCAGCTGCTGCGATGCGAATGGCAAAGATACAGAAGATATTGCTGTGTACGTGTGCATAGTCATCACGGGCCAGCAAAGAGTCTTGCCATGCAAAGTATAGAGGGACGCCAAGGACATGCCATTCATAGTAGACAAACTAGGTGCATGTACGTACGAAGTACATTGCATCGCTATGAGTGATGAGTCACTACGTCAATAATGCTGGGTATAACGTCACAGGAGCCGATTGTAGTATGTCTACTTTTCGTTCGAGAAGGATTAAATCGAGTTGAGTCTCCCTCATTTGGTGCTGGTAGACAACGCATATGCTTGTAGTCGTCTGTTTTGAATTCGAACTGAGTTGTGCTATGAGTTGCTACACACAATGGTCGATCCTATAATTGTCATGTGTATCGGAACAGATCTACGCTTGTAGACAAGATGTTGCGTCTTGATTCGCATAGTCCAACGACGACCTCCTTGCTCAGAGTGTGACATCCTACTTAGGCGCGTCATAGGCTGCGGCATACTAGGGCTAGAAATGAGCCACAAGATGTCCTTCCTTCCTGCTGTGAAACACTGGACACATGATGGCAAAGAAGATTCATTTACGTCTCTTTGTTAAGTGCATCTTGTACGTTACGAGAGTACACCGACGTGGCAACTCACGTCTGGCAAGCCTTATCCAAGCTGACCGTGTTGACATCGTGCTACATACGTAAAGTTGCATGCGACGAAAACTGATAGCAGGTAGCCTCAATTCCGACGCTCGCGTGCCAGGGTCAAGGCAACATGGACGAATCAAACGGCGCCTGGAGCAGCTTTGACATCATTCGCCGCCGCGTTCTTACTGCTTGTGAAGATTCTCCCGAGCAAGTGCTTGGCGGTCTGGACCTTGCTCTGGTCCTTCGCCGCCGCCGCTTTTTCACTGAAGACAAGTCGGAACAAGTCCTTGACGGCATCGACCCTGTTCTTGCCATCCGCCTTCTGCCACCACGATGCCGCCTTTTCCTTCGCCCTTTTTAGCCGTTTATCAGCAATTTCCTCCCCCTTCCAAGTGTAGTCCGTGACCTTCGTCAACGCTTCGTCAAGGTGTCCCTTGGTCCTAGTGGCGAGCTCTCTGACCCATCCAAAGGGCGCAAAACCAGCCCTTTCCTCCTCCGTATTAGCTGGCACGGAAGGCAGGGCGCTTGAAGCACCAGCGGATCTCAAAACCCTCTTGGCGTCTGCTTCGTTAACACGGTCATGCTTCACGCGGTCCACGAAAGAGACGTCCGGCTCGGCAGCAGTCGATGGGACTGCATTGCTGGAAGCGAAAACAGCAGCCAGGGCTGCAACTGCGAGGTACGGCAGACGCATGCTTCGTGTTGTTACTTAGAAGTTGAAGAGGTGGTATGCAGCTGTTGTGCAAGTGGTCGAGTTGGAGAATGAGGTGTCAAGAGCAGCACCCCGTAGGTTTGCATTCCGCTTCAACTATCAGATTTAGCAAGAAGGGTCCGACCAGGCTCACGGACTAGCTATGGCAACGGTGCGACATGCGGTCTGATACTTTCCAGCTGCCGAGAGCATAAACAAACGCTCCGTGCATTCCCTGGATGCTGAGCCCTGCGTGCTGCATGAGCTGAAGACAAGCAGACAAGCAGATGACGACAGTTGAGCGGGCTCATGGAAGAAAGTAAGGCTAAAAAAGGGCAATAGGGTATCCTATTTCTTGGCTCCTGCTAAACGGCTCTACCATCTATCCACATCCTAGTGGGGTTCTGTGAATCGAAATGGTTGGACAGAAGCGATGCTGCAACTCGTTTGCTTCAGAGCCAGAGTGACGTCCTTGTTGATCGGAGCGACTGCTCGTGACATGCTGTGTAGAATCTGATAATGATTACGAAGATGGGCACGAATGTACGCTCCTTAACAAAGCTCTAGCTGGTCTGCTTATTTGAAGGGAGATGATTGGCTGCATTCGATAAATCTGCACCCAGCATGTCGCGATACATCGGATACGTATCAGTGTAGTGTCAAGTACGTCCGTTATTCACGAACAACTAACGACTGAAGTTTCCAGGAAGTGTGATCCGAAACCGGATTTACAACGTGGGTTCTCCGAAGAGCCAGGGGCGAGGGTAGCGGAGGTCAGAGACATCCAACCCAAGCCAGATTCGAGCCTATCTTTCAGGCGCTCTCCGTGCAACGCTGCCCTATGCAGCAGAAGATATCAAGACGTCCAAAAGGACACCTAACTGAATCGGTGACCGCTTAGCGCGGCCAGCCGACCTATAGCGCGAGAAACCGAAGTTACCTTACGCGCCGGGAGAATGCCACTAAAATCAGGTACAGACTCTTTTGTGACCGCTAAAGTGACCGTCCGGGCTGGATGTTGCTATCGTCGAGGCGATAACGATGGCGGGGGAACGCCTACCCGCCGTATTTTATACCTTAGAAGCCTGTCCATCCACGATGGTGGGCATCACATCGGATACATGTCAGCAGCAGTTTCACCTATTTATCAGGGCAAACCCTGAACGGCTAGGTTCATTTTATCCGGCTGGGTTCATTTTATTCGGCTGGGTCATTTAATGAGGTATAGGGGTCAAAGAAGCAGCTGCTCAAAAATCATGTAGATAGAATGTCAAATGACCTTTTTTTCACAAGGTGATTTTCGGTGAATCCCTCTCCAAAAGAAGCACACCCACGATAGCTCCCGCGCTCGCCACGATGACTGTAACGGGGTAGCCTGTTACATGATATTGACACCAAACGGTGTCGATAGGGATTTTGTCTAGCATGACAATATCCTACCAATATTATCCGAGATAGGTAATATTGAAGGAATATCATCCCCTTTTAGGACAATATTCGTGCGCTGCTCAAAGATTGGTCGATAAAAGACACACCAACCATAGATTATCACCAATCGCTGCTAGACGCACGCAATGAGTGGTGAGCAGCTTGTCGTCATACGACGACGTAGTTTTATCTAGTTAGATAAAGATTAAAGTTATCTTGGTAGTTTAACTATATTAAATACAGTTTACTTTTTACCTTTACTTAGATTAGTAGTTTGAATAGATTTACCTTCCTCTGCACGTGCTAGTGTACGTGAAATTTCATGGTACCCATTATAAGGTTGCCTCGTTACAATAAATCTTACCGAGACTATACACCGTTGGAATTGCCGCATTCGGTTCTACATTTGAAAAATTCTATGTACTATTAATCGTGGAGATTAGTGAAATGAGTCAAGTCGTAAAATGTGATAACTTTGGAGTTTGCGATCTCGCAGAGGTCATTTGTTAGAGCCTGGAGTTGGCTCATAAACTAGAATACCAACAAACCATTCAACAGGAGGTACACGGTCATTGTAACGGGGTACCCTCTGTTTGGGGTGCCACGAAATTTCACGTACACTCGTACGTGCAGAGGCAGGTAAATCTATTTAAACTACTAGTCGAAGGAACGGTTAAAAGGGAGCTGTATTTAAGATAGGCCAACTACCGATTAACTTCAGTCTTCATCTAACTGTAGTAATCTACATTGTCGAATGACGGCAACCTGTCGCCACCCATTACGCGCGTCTAGCAGCGACTGGTAGAAAACCTTGGTTGATCTAGCTTTCATCAACCAATCTTCGAGCAGCGCATGAATATAATCCTAAAAGGGGATAATATTCCCTCAATATTACCTATCTCGGATAAAATTGACAGAAGATTGTCGGGCTAGACAATCTTCCTATTGACACTGTTTGGTGTCGATATCATGTAACGGGATACCCCGTTACATTTATCGTATTACAAAGCGCATCTAAGAGCACGCCACTGACAACCCTTTTTTGCAAAAGGCCGCCCCTCCATGTACGATGGCTCTGACGATGACCTCACCCTCCAACAAAATCCGTCACGCCGGATACGGCACAATTTGTTGCCTCTGGAAGCCATGTCGTCCATATTCGACCCAAAACAATCCTAAAACTCGCTGGATACCTCGAAATGACCCCTCTCCATCAAGTTTCATTTCTTTAAATGACTGCGATGAAGTCCAAGACGCCCCCAATTTCGTATTCTTAGATACTTGATTTGTGTGCTCTAGCAAGAGCATGAATTGCAGTAATGTAACGGGGCACCCTGAAGCTTGTACTGGTGACAGTACAAGCTACTTATTCTGATGACAGAATAAGGCGGTGCCTCGTAACTTCACGTACACTGGTACGTGCAGAGGAAGACGGTAAGAAGAAGCGAGTACTTGGTTAGAGTAAAAAGTAGAACTGTATTTAGTAATAGTTAATGTCTGCAATAAATCACTATTTATCTTCATCTAACTATGTCTAAATACAAATGTGTAAATCAGTTATCTGCTCACCACTCATTGCGTGCGTCTGTCGTGGCGCGTCTTCGTTGGTGGATATAATGGCCTATATCAACCAATTAGGAACTACTCGTAAGTGCTGCAGAATATTTGTCCTTATGACAATATTCTGAGAATATAACTCTTATAGTTATATTCTACTAACAATTTCTTATAAATTGTTATGTAACGATTCACCCCGTTACATCACCCCCCCTTAACCATCAGTCACTTTAGTGACTGATTGACTAAATGGATACTCGTCCCAAATCATTTGGGACAGGGTTTGCACTTGTTGGTCCGCGTCCACTTTCCAACATCTCATCGCATGGTTAACAAGCCCATGCGATGCGCGAGCAAGGCCGCCGAGAGCGCGTCTGCACGTTTCTGTGCGGACGCCGAAGCAGAAACAACAGCAACTGATGTCTCATCGGTTGCTGAAGCGACCCAGCCTGTGTCACTTGGTGATGCAGGCGCTGGTCATGAAGACACTCGTGTCTTCACAGAGTACGAGCTCGGTGTCTCGTACTCTCCTGATACGGATGACGGATCCGTATCGACGGCGATTGAATCTAAGCCGCCTGCCAAGCGTGGCATGGACGATGCTTTGCGTCGCAGCATCTTTGGTTCATCTGATTCATCAGATGAACCATCGCCGAAGCGAAGGCGCTCGAGGTCGCGAGACTCGGGCGCTAATAGTGGTGTCGGTTCTCCTATGGACACCACTTCGCAACGAGGTGCCAGTACTTCTGTCGGCACGTCGCAGGAAGAGCGGGACCGCAATGTCTTGCGTCTCGCTCCAGAAAAGAAGGCATGGATGCCTCCCAAATCCGTCATGGATCACTTGTCGGCGACGACGAGTGATCGTTATCGAACACGATTGTTCGATTCGTCAAGGATCCATCACCTTGACCCCAGCGCGAAAAACAATCGCGCTGAACATGAATTCTTCATCGATGCTTTCTTTAGGCATCGATGGTACAGTGGGAATCACAAACGTGATGGTCCCTCACTACTTCAGGCGTGGAACGCCTACATCCATAACCTCGAGGATGTAGGTCGTGACGCTTGGAACGACAAACTTATCAAAGCTCGTGATAAGTTTGAAAAGCGAACCCCGACAGGTGCACGCTACAAGCTGCATCGTCTGTCAAGGGAGAAAGGATTACCCTGCCTCTCTTGGGGAGACTCGTGCCCATGTTGTGTGAACAACTCTGCACGAGCACCTAAGGAGGCTTACCTCCTTACCAGCCCGTGGTGGCGCGTACGTATCTCTACTGAGATGTACGAAGGGATTGACAACTTGAAATCCCTTTACGACCGTGCCGGGAAGACTTTCTCCGGCGGTCCTTCTGCGGCACAGGATGTGCCGCGTCGTACTTCTCAACCAGACCCAGTACGTCGATCATCAGTTGGGAGCGGGGCTCCCAAGAATCCCAGGACGGGGGATAGCCGCGCCACCGGACGAGATAACTCGTCCGACGTCCGTTCACGTCGCGGTGGTTCAACAGCTGCTCAACTAGATAGCGCTGGCTACCGCGAGAGTCCTCTAATGGAGGTGGAGGAGGAGGAAAGACGCTCTCCACACGATCATGTGGATCGGTGTGTTCCCGAGAGCTTCTTTGATCGCGTAACGCAAGGGTTACGCGACGATCTCGAACATGAGCGGAATAGGCGTCTCCAAATGGCGGACACTGCCTCGAAGCATCGAGCTGAGTTTGCCTTTGCTCAGCTTGAAAACGAGAGATCTCTGACATCTCTTCGTGACGAGCTAAGGGTAGCTCGTGGTATTGCTGATCGGTCTCGGGATGAGATAGCTGCTCTTCAGACCCTTGTTGATGCCCACCATCGGGAGCACAAGGCTCTCTGCGAGATGCTTGAGCGCAAGGGCGTTCTTCATCGGAAGAAGCAGCGTACTGATGGTACGGCTTAAGCCGACCAACGTAAAACGTGGGATGCGTTCGCATCTTACGTGGTAACTCGATCGTGTATGCATTGCCTAGGCGGTGCAATACACGAAATGGGCCGATGTACTTGGGTAGTAGTTTACTGCTACCCAAGTTAGTCACTACATGCTTTGGTAGATTAACCGTAGACAGTAGGACTAAGTCACCTTTATTAAATAAAAGAGTTTTTGCCCTTCCATTCTTATCAGCGTTTTGCTCTTGCTTATCCACCGCTTCGGCGATGGAGTCTTGCACAAAACGGACTACCGTTTCACGAGCCAGTATGAACTCATCTGATGACTCGTTAGCTTCAGTGCGCTGTGAGCGCACTGCAGCAACATCAACCTTTTCTTCAGTGAGGGCTTCCGCACTCTCACTGGGATCATCTTCTTCAGTGAGGAATTCCGCACTCTCACTGGCATCATCTTCTTCGATATCGATGTTATCGATATCGGCATCAAACGCAATGACTTCTTCGTCAGAGCGTGATGAGCGTGAACCAAATCGTTTTTGCTTGAGCGATTCTCTCCCCCTTTAAAACCAGAGTTACACTCGAGTAAGGTGGGTACACGCGGATGGCGCAAGACATTCACGTAAAACGGTGTATGTGTCGTGGACGCATGCACCGAGTTGTTGATGGCAAACTCTACCATTGGCAAAAACTCACTCCAACTCTTAAAGGAGTGTACGTATCCTCGAAGTATCTCTTCAAGGACACGATTGGCACGTTCCGTCTGACCATCTGACTCTGGATGATCAGATGTTGACATCTTCAAGCGCGTTCCGAGTGATGTGATCACGGGACGCCAGAAATAAGCAGTGAATCGTGGGTCTCTGTCTGATACGAGTTCACGGGGCAACCCATGAAGTCGGAAGATGGTGTCAATAAAGACACAAGCACAGCCACTTGCCGTGATTGTCTCTGGTACAGCCACAAGGTGTACCATTTTGCTGAATCTGTCAACAAATACGAGAATACCCGTATTCCCGCGTGCGTCTTTGGGTAACCCGAAGACAAAATCCATTGAGATGGATTCCCAGCACTCAGCCGGAACCGGTAGAGGCTGTAAAGGTGCACGCAGTGAAGGACTTGACTTCACTCGTTGGCAGACTTCGCATGCGCGAACATACTTTCGCACAAACTGATACTGGCGGGGCCAGTAAAAGTCTCTACTTACCGTGAGATATGTTTTCTCTCGGCCACGATGTCCTCCTATAGGAGCATCGTGATACTCGAACATGATCCGCAAACGCAGATCAGTATCATCTGGAATGACAACACGTGGTGTGTCACCAGAAACGGCTGTATAATACAGTAAACCGTTACGAGTAGTGTATCGATCTGATGCAGATCGATACGCAGGCGACAATCGTTTCAACGATTCTTGGGATGGTTGGGAGAGATGTGTCAACAACTTCACTATCTCACCATCTTGGGCGTATGCCCGCCTCACATCATCATAAAACGTTGTAGATGGGACTGAGGACGTCATAACCGCAACAGTGACTGTCTCACTGTTGGGTTCCGCGACTGTTTCAAAGTCGGGACGACGTGAGAGTGCATCAGCGACGACATTAAGTCGTCCTGGTTTGTACTCGACCGTAAAGTTGTATTCCGCAAAGAATGACAACCACCGCGCCATTCGTTGTGAAAGGTGCGAGCTGTTCACTGCCGTGCGTAATGACGCATGGTCAGTGTAAACAACGAAGGGTCTATCTCCTAATAGATAGACTCTGAACTTCGCGAGTGCATACTTCATGGCAAGGAGTTCCTTGTCATGCACTGGATAGTTCCGCTCAGCTGGTTGCAGCTGACGCGACTGATAGCAGACGACGCGTTCAACGCCTTCAAGGTCGTATTGCATTAATGCACAGCCGATTGCGAAATCGCTGGCATCACAGACCACATGAAATGGCCTGTCCTGATCGGCTATTGCTAGGACTGGGGATTGTATCAAGCTCTGCTTGATACCCTCAAAGGAGCGCTGACATTCAGCGTTCCATAACCACATCTCGTTCTTTTTCAACAAACGAGAGAGGTGCACAGTCATCTCGGCGTAATTGCGTGAATACTTATGCAAATACGCCGCTAGCCCAAGGAATTTTCGAAGACCTTTGACATCAACCGGCACAGGCCAGTCGGTGATCGCCTTGATCTTTTCGGGATCAGGACGTACACCGTTATTACCAACGATGCACCCAAGAAGTGGTATTTCGCTTGCTGCAAATATACACTTCTTGAGGTTTGCATACAATTGATGCTTTCGCATGATTGTAAGAACTTGTCGGACGTGATACCTGTGAACCTCAACGTCCGACTTTCCATCCATAGCTCGACTATGGATGAATTCGTCATCGAAATAACTCGGCGCGAATTCTCGTACTGGTCTCAACAGATGTGATACACATCTGTTGAACGTGGCAGGGGCATTACTGAGCCCTTGTGGCATTACTAGCCATTCCCAGAGCATGCCGCTAGGCGTGCTAACTGCAGTATAGGGTATATCCCGTTCCCGCATAAGGATTTGATAGAAGCCGTCCATCAAATCCATGGACGAAAAGATGGTACTCTTTGACATACCATCAATGATTACGTCCTTCCTCGGTATCGGCGTCTGAGCCGGTACCGTTGCAGCGTTCAATTTGTTGAGCGCATGCACTATCCGCCACCCTCCTGTGGCCTTTCGCACACAGAAGGTCGGAGAGCTATGTGGGGAAGTTGATTCCCTCACATGGCCCGCAGCTAAACGATCGGCAAAGAACTTGTCGATCGCAAGTACTTGTTCACGAGGCAGTGGCCACTGCTTCATGACACAGTACTTCGAGCCTGGTTTAAGATCGACCTCGTGTCGAATACCTTTATCCTTCGGTAATTCGCACGGAACAGTTTCAGGGAATACATCCTTGAATTCAACCAAATCTTCATAGAGAGGATTTTTCTTGAGCGATTCCCATGATTGGGAGTCATATCGCTCAATTCGTGTCTTTTCATCTAGGACACTCTCGTCCATAGATGAACTACTGAGAACTCTCTCGTTCTCAGTGAACACGGTTGCTGACCTTATGTCGGTTACACACTCGTCGTCAGCGACGAGTATGCAGATCTGCTTGACTTTGCCACTACGCAGATCACGCAAGAACCTTTTATGTTCGAGCGTTGGCAACTGAGTGATCTCCGAAGTTAACTTCGGAGGCGCAATCAGATCAAGTGTATAAGCGCCTACACTTGATCCGTTATTGACTATGACATTCAATGTCTCTGTCATTTCCTGGGGACTTATTCCCTCAGGCTTCGAAGGACTTATTCCTTTGGCTTCCCGGGGACTTATTCCCGCGGGTTTCGGGGAACTTATTTCCGCCGTATTTGTAATCTTGGGACTTATTCCCTTTACTTCCTCTAGCTGGGGTTGCGCAACCACAGCAAGATCCTCTACGAAAGACTCTCCAGTCGATCTAGGATTATCGTTTCGCTTAACCTGAGCGATCGATTGTTTCTCTTCTAGATGTTCCCCGCTAGGGATACATCTTTGTCCCAGTCCACCCGACTTATTCGAGTGGTGGACCTTCGGCGCAGCCTGTGTTTCCTCACAGCCGCCGGAACTTTGCTCCGAAGTGTAACTGTTTGGTACACTAAGGTTTTGTGCAGTCGTACTAACGACCGTACCACAAGTGAGGCCATCGCACTCACTCGTAGTACATCCACACGCTTGTGGACGCTCCAAAACGTTCATCAGATGGCCATCTGATGAACAAGCGGCAGGCATCGTTACTGTTCGATGTTGCCAATTTACTCGTGGTTCGTACCTTCTGAGCCACGGTATTCCAAGGATGACATCAAATTTGTCATCCAAATCCAATACGATAAAGTCATCGTCATATTGGGTATCTTCTAGCGTATAGTGGATCTTCACTATACGCTTCATGACGGTTACGGATGCGCCTGTCGCAAGACGTACCGTCATCCTCGTAGGAGGTGTGTTACATTCACTGAATTTAAAGTGACCATCTTCTAGCGATTGTCGTCGCACAAAATTGCTGGACGCCCCACAATCGACTAGAGCTCGAAGGGACAACTTATTCGTCACTTCGAGTTTCAAGGTAATGAGTGAGACCTCATTACCTAGAGCAGCAACGCACAACGTTTGTGTGTTGGGAGCAACCTTCATCAAGAGGCCTACAAATTCTCTTGACGTTGCTGGATCAGTAGGGTGCTCCGCACCTACTGATCCTGTCCGTTTTTTGACGGTCCATCCCGTTGTTGCGTCTTTGCACCAACAGCGGACCCTCGTCCCTGCCCCTTTCTCATGGGTGGACGGTCACTACGCCCAGTGTCGCGAGACACTGGACGAGGGGCACTACACTCGTAAGCGTAGTGTCCTGTCTTTTGACATCTGTTGCATCTCTGCAACTTCTTGTAGCCTGTAGAGCGAGCCTTCTCGCTCTCTACATAACAGAGTTCCATCGGCTCTGGACCTCCGTTGTCATATCGTCTCGGTTGACGATATGATGTCGAGCTGGCGCGAGCCTGTCTCAGACTGAAGTCTTCCTGCTCCGCAATGGAAATGGCTTGTTCTAGTGAATCTAGTTCAAGCCGGAACAGGTGAGTCTTGACGGGACCATCCGCAAGACCCTGCATGAACACCGAAACCAACGTGTGTTCATCCACCGGATTGGAACTTATACAACTCGTGAGATGTCGTATATGTTGAGCGTAAGCGTGTACATCACGCTTACCCTGCTTGAGCTTCAAGAGTTCGGTTCGAGCTCTGAACTCAGCTCTAGGCGGTTCAAACGTTTGTCTGAGCCGCGACTTGAAGACTTCCAACGACCCAAACGCATATGGGTCGTGCAACTTGAGCCCCAGTGCCCAAGTCTTGGCACGTCCTGCCAGATTTGACTGGGCAAATGCAACTTGCATATCCCCGTCGTCGATGCGACGCGCCCTTATGGCGTCATCCAATTCGACGAACCATCTCAAGAGGGAGTCTTCTTCGACCCCCCCATACTTGGAGATGTCAATCTTCAAAGTCTCGGGTCGACGCGAATGCATCGACCCGCCAGCAGCAGCCTGCTGCTGTCTCAACAGTTCAAACTGTTGAGCACCCTGTTCTCTCAACAACTCTGCTTGTTGAGAACCTTGTTGGTGAAGCAAGGCTACTTTCTCGGGTTCTGCGTCAAGTTAATTTGAATGAACTTGGCGCTATTAGCATGTTGGGCATCTCTATTGAGAGCCTCTAGCATGACGCTAACAGCATGGATGACCATGGTCGAACCCATTCGTTCAACCGCATCCCATTCGACATCGCTCAAATGGGAGTAGCCGTCACGCGTAGCGTGGAAGCTTTGGTCATCTTCATCATCCAACATATTCATGTTGGATGTGAACGCGGTCCTTGGACGGACTACGAAGTGCTACCAGGTGTAACGGGGCACCCTGAAGCTTGTACTGGTGACAGTACAAGCTACTTATTCTGATGACAGAATAAGGCGGTGCCTCGTAACTTCACGTACACTGGTACGTGCAGAGGAAGACGGTAAGAAGAAGCGAGTACTTGGTTAGAGTAAAAAGTAGAACTGTATTTATAATAGTTAATGTCTGCAATAAATCACTATTTATCTTCATCTAACTATGTCTAAATACAAATGTGTAAATCAGTTATCTGCTCACCACTCATTGCGTGCGTCTGTCGTGGCGCGTCTTCGTTGGTGGATATAATGGCCTATATCAACCAATAAGGAACTACTCGTAAGTGCTGCAGAATATTTGTCCTTATGACAATATTCTGAGAATATAACTCTTATGGTTATATTCTATTAACAATTTCTTATAAATTGTTATGTAACGATTCACCCCGTTACAAGTAAGCCTTCGAAGAAGAACCAAAGAACATGACTTGTCCTTTCCTTCAGCCTTCGTTGTGCTTGTGGCCGTAAATACGTCACCACTAGCAAAGGCAAGCGCCGGACATCCAAGATGACTGGATACGAATAGGAGTCTCGCTGTATTTGTGCAAAAGATGATTCTACAGCAGAATATGGGTGAAGATTCGAAGTCATTGTACCACACCAAACCGCAAACGTGTGATGATTGACAGGCTTGCCTTTGCGCAGAACCGCAAGCGTGATAGTTACACTTAATCCCGAATCGAGCAACAGCGGAAGCTGTAATGGATCACTGGAGCAACGTACTGGACAACCAGTGTGGTGCTACTATTACCGACGGCAGCGTGAGCGATTCCTCGCTACCTCTGCAATTCGGCAGAAATGGGGAAAGCAGCTAGAAACTGACCAGTTGCTCGTAATAGTATAACCGTATTAAATGTAACTAAGTCCTAATCATTAATCTATGTTCTAGTTCTAACTTGAATATAGTTAATCACAAAACGTACGATAAAGTCTTGCTCACCACTCATTGCGCACGTCCATCGTTGATTAAGCCACTAGAGCTGGCTGATATGATGACCCGTATCAGTCGATCGGCAAGTGTTTCAGAATATTACCCCTAATGGTAATATTCACGAACATCATCAATCTTTATGACAATTTTTTTGATTTAAAGTATCAAAGTTACTTAAATGTAACAAGCAAACCCCGTTACATCATCCTCCCTTAAAGGATAGCCACTCAATCACTTTCATGTTGATGGGGTCACCGTGAGACCACATCAGAGAAAGGGAGCACTCGATTTGGTCTGATTAATTCGTTTTTAGATCTTTATCACATGGTGAAGAATTCCGTTCGATGCGCGGCAAAAACTGCTGAGAAGGCAGCTGCGTGTGTTAACGCAGCTGCTCTTGACTATGCCCAGCCTTTCTCGGCAAAAGATGCTTTGTCTGCTGCTTCTTTAAAACTTTCTGCGGCACCAACGGCTTCAGAAGCATGTAATATGTCACCATGTGCCGATAATGATGGCTCCTAAATGAAGCTTATCTATTCGAAGGAGTTGGAAGGTATGTATGACTTGAAGACGATACCTAGATCACCCAAGTATAACGAAACGGCCGAATAAAATCCAACGAAGACAACTCGAGCGGTTAGTCAGACTTATAGTCACTACAAGAGTGTGTTTAGTTCGGAGGATACGCATGCTGACCCCCCCCCTCTCGCCTACTACTGCATATTCGGCTTTTAAAGAATGCGGCGTTGAATTGCACCGTTGTAATGACGATTCTAGTGGTACTAAGACTTCTTTTGGTACCACGCAGGAGGCTTGGACGGCAATGAAATTGTGTCTAGACCCTGAACACAAACCTTGGTTACTACCAGAAAGGCTTGAGAATAACCTGCCGGACGAGATGATCCTTCATCTTTAATTTCTATTATTCAATGCGAGCTTGATGCACCGCCTCGCCATCAGCGCTAGTAACTTTAACTCTAAAGAAGTCTTTTATCTGGGTGATTTTCTAAAGCATCTTTAGTAGAGTGGAAACACTGGTCAAGCCAAAGGTCGTTGCTGCAGGCGCCAAACACCTTAAAACTCAATGTGCAACACGTTTGGCGCATAGCTTGGCTTCAGAAACTAAAGAAAGCTCGTGTTAAGTTTAAGAAACTAACCTAGACTCGTGCAAACGCCAGGTTGCACTATCTGTCTCGTGAGGCAGGAATCCCATGCCTCATGTGGGACGGTCCATGTCCAGGTTGTTTCGACAACACTCAACGCATCCAAAGGGATGTGTACTCCCTTCCTTCGACCTGGTGTAGGGAGAACATCTCGTCTGAGATGCGCGATGCGATTTCTGAACTCCAATCGCTCTACCAGCACCAGGAACGAGTGTTTTCCGATAGCCCATTTAATTCATTGGATGTTTCTCGTCGTACTGGTGGACTAGACCCTCAACCTTAATCATCGGCTGGACGCGAGGCACCCAGCTGTCGTGCGATGGCGGAAATCCACGCCAGCGAAAAAATTACTTGTTCGCTGATCCTTTACGTCGCGGTAATTCAAGTTGTTCTTCACATGAAAGCGTTGATCACTGTGCGATTCCACTAAGTGCTGTAGAGGGGGCGGGATTATCAACTCCGAATATTTTGGTGGTGTTGCAGGTGGAGCTTGGTCGTCTCTAGCAACGCTTACACGATCTGTGTGATATCATCGAACAAGAGACAAAAGTGGCTTTCTTCGGAGGCTTGGGTGCAACGCATCCGCCTTTATTGATCATACGACCGTTTAGGGTTTGTGTCATACCAATTGTAGAACAAGCGGAAGCGTCAAGACTTTCGCGAAGAAGGGGCTAACATTCGTCGCCACCATGCGGCACTACAGAGCCAGCTTAAAATACTGGATCCAGTCCAAAAACATCTATCGGGGTTCTTGAAAATAAAAGTTGGCGGTTGTATTCGCCTGAGGAAAAGACCTCGTGCTGATGGCACGGGTGGAGATGAAAAACGTAGAGAAGTAGGATTCTACGCATCCTGCGAGGCACCTCGATTGTGTACGCATTTCCTACGCGATGTAGTACACGAAACGGGCCAATGTACTTGGGTAGTAGTTTACTACTACCCACATTGATTACTGCGTAGTTAGATAGATTTGCAGTACACAATAGAAGAAAAAGTGTCCGAAATTAGAGTAGAAGAACGTTTGTTCTTCCACGTTTTTCCGCGTTCCATTTCTTCCGGTCCACCGCGTTAGCGATGGATCATTGCACAAAACAGACTACTGCTTCTCGTGCCGACAGGAAATATTCTACTGATTCAAATTAGTTCGTTGCAGTTTGCCTTGTGCGCACCGCTTAGAGGTCGAATTTCTTCCTCCGCGAAGGTGGTCTCACCTCTCAAGTGCAGTCGCTGGTAGTGCTGAATATACCAGCGTCGTCATCCTTAGCTGCTTCGATGACAAATTGATCGACATCGGCAATGTTCGCGTCGTCGATTGCCTTAACACGTGATGAAAAGCCAGAAAAGTATTTTGCTCAAGCGAATCACCCCTGATCAGAGTCACACTTCATTTAAAATGCGTTGTATAGGCATGCACGGAGTTGTTGATTGCAAACTCCATTATCGTCAAAAATTTGCTCCAATCTATGAAGAATTGGGCAAAGCCTCTAAATTATCGTTGAGAAAGCAATGGACGGGTTCTGTCTGACCGTCAGTCTCGGGATGGTCAGAAGTAGAATTAGTTAGACGTGTTTCAAAGGGCCGGAACACGGATTGCCAAAATACCGCCGTGAAACGAGGATCTCGATAAGAGATTAACTCACGGGTGGACCGTGGAGTCGGTACACTAGTGCCAATGAAGACACGGGCACAACCATGTGCAGAAATTTACCTAATTGACTGCAGTAAGATGTCCCATCTTTCATAATTGTTCTGCAAACACAAGAATACTACCATTCTTGTGAGTTTCGACTTCGGGAAAATTTAAGACGAAATCCGTTGAAATGAACTGTCAGCAATTTTTCGTTTGAGGCTGTAGTGGCGCACGGGATTATGTACTAGGCTTTACCCGTGTAACGCTTCACAAGCAAAAATGTAGCTGCGCACGAACTGACACTGGCGAGGCCAGTATTTGTCGCGACTAACAGTGATATAAGTTCACGCCAACGCTGCCCTATATGTACTCATTTAATATGCACAAGTGCATGCATTATGAGTGGGGTTGGAGTCACGAGACGTTTCGCCGGTGACTGCTGTACAGTACAGCAGTCCATCACGAACCGAATACCATTCGGTTGAGGAGCGGTATTGAGACGTCAAGCTTTTCAAAGCTTGACTGCATGGATTAAACACGTAATCCATCAATCGCAGAAGAGACTCATCTTCTGCGTATGCGTTTCGCACATCGTCGAGCAGATTCGACGACGGAACACTCACTGTTGGTGTCGCTGCAGTATAATCACCCCTACTGTTGGGTTGAGCAGTCGGCTCAAAATCGAGCCAACGCGAAAGAGTATCAGCAATGACAATAAGTCGTCTTGGGATATACTTGACGGAGAAGTTGTACTTCGCGAAGAACGACAGCCATCTCGACATTCTTTGCGAGAGGTGTGGACTGTTTACGACCGTGCGTAACGACGCATGGTCGGTATAAACGATAAATGGTCTATCTCC